TCAATCCAATATCCGTCATCTCGAACTCCTTCGTCATCTCTTTCTTGAATTCTTCGAACATGCTTGGATTGTTACCCGTGAATATCAAGTCATCTACATATAAGCATGCAATCAATATATCGTCTTTTTGAATTTTGATATAGAGTGCATGCTCATATGGACACTTGATGAAGTCTTTCTCCTTGAAGTACTTGTCAATTCGAGTATTCCAAGCTCTTGGGGCTTGTTTTAATCCGTAAAGCGCCTTCTTTAGCCTCAAGACTTTGTTTTCTTCTCCTTTGACTATGTAGCCTTGTGGTTGCTCAATGTAAACTTCTTCTTCAAGGTCACCATTTAAGAAGGCCGACTTGACATCCATTTGATGTATCTTCCACTTGTTTTGAGCCGCTAGTGAAATGATTAGTCTAACCGTTTCTAGACGAGCAACGGGAGCAAATACCTCGTCATAGTCGATTCCGGCTCTTTGACTATAACCTTTTGCCACCAATCTTGCTTTGTATCTTTCCACTTCCCCTTTAGAATTTTTCTTTGCTTTATACACCCACTTCACACCTATCGCCTTGTGTCCATTTGGAAGTGAAGCTAGCTCCCATGTATCATTCTTTTTTATCGCCTTTATCTCTTCATCCATGGCATTTCTCCAAGTCTTCTTTTCAATGGCTTCTTGGAAATCCATGGGTTCACACTCCGCAAATAGACAAAATAAAGTAAGGTTGTCTTGATTTTCGGTTACCTCGTAGAGCTCTTGTAAACTTCTAAAATGTGGAGTCCTCTCACTTGAGCTTTCTTCTCCTTGAGGACTTGTTGGTGAAGTTGGTGGTGTAGTAGGTTCTTCTCTTGGTGGCTCTTCTCTTGTTAGCTCTGAGTCATCTTCTTCGAAGTGTGGAAAGAAGTTATAATCTTCTTCATTTGATTTCCAATCCCATTCTCCTTCTTCATCGAAAACGACATTTCGACTAATTATTGTCTTCTTCGTATCGGGATTATAGAGCTTGTAGCCTTTGGAGTTGTTATCATAACCAATGAAGATATACTTCTCACTTTTATCATCTAGTTTACTTCGCTTCTCATCCGGTACATGAGCATGAGCAATGCTTCCAAAGACTCTTAAATGAGAAACACCGGGCTTCCTTCCGCTCCATGCTTCTTGTGGTGTTTTTCCCGAAACACTTTTTGTTGGAGATCGGTTTAATAGATAAACCGCACATGCGACCGCTTCCGCCCACAACTCTTTTGGTAGTCTCTTACTTTTGAGCATGCTCCTTGCCATCTCAAGAATTGTTCTATTCTTTCTTTCCGCTACACCGTTTTGTTGAGGGGATCTTGGCACCGTTAGTTGTCTTCGAATGCCGTTATCTTCACAATACTTTAAAAACTCCTTCGATGTAAACTCTCCTCCACGGTCGGATCTCATGGCTTTGATTGCAAGACCACTTTCCTTCTCAACATGGACTTTAAACTTTTTGAAGTTCTCAAACACCTCGGATTTTTCTTTCAAAAAGTAAACCCATGTTTTTCTTGAAAAATCATCAATAAAGAGAAGGAAGTAGTTACTTTTACCAAGTGATTTGGGCTTGATTGGACCACACACATCCGTGTGTATTAGCTCCAACGGTTTTTGAGCTCTTGTACTTGACTCTTTCGGAAAGCTCATTTTGAATTGCTTTCCAAGTAGACATCCTTCACACACTTGATTTGGATGATTGATGCAAGGTAGTCCTCTCACCATTTCTTTCTTCGAAAGCAACTCCAATCCTCCAAAATTTAGATGCCCGAATCGAAGATGCCAAAGCCAAGACTCCTCCTTGTAACACATCTTGAGACATTGTGCTATGTCATTTCGAATGTTAAGGACGAACATTCTATTTTTCGACATTGGCACCTTGGTAATGAGATTGCTTTCTTGGTCTCTTATAGAAAGGTTATTATCTTTTAGTCGAATATCATAACCTTTCTCTAAGAGTTGTCCAAGACTCAAGATGTTTGTCTTCATGCTCGGAATATAGTAAACGTTGGAAATAAATTGATGATCTCCATTCTTCAATCGGATGAGAATGTTTCCTTTGCCTTTTACCTCCATCTTCGATTCATCTCCTAAAGCCACATTTCCTCTCACCGATTCATCAAGTTCCGCGAACATACTTTTGCTCCCGCACATGTGATTACTTGCACCACTATCAAGGTACCACTTATGATTCTCTTCATGTTCACCTTTCTTGTAACTAGCCATTAATAACATGTCTTCTTCTTGGACTTGTTCTTCAACGTAGTTGGCCTTCTCTTCGACTTTTTTGTTGCTAGGAGCTTTACATTCTGAAGCATAATGTCCAAACTTCCCACAATTGTAACATTTGACACTTGATTTATCATATCTTGATTTTGGGCTTCCTCTCCCACGACCTCTCGATGAGTTTTCTCCTCTTTGGTTTGTGTTGTCTTCATATGGCCTCCAACCTCGTCCATTTCCATATCCACGGCCTCGTCCTCGTACTTGACCGCCACCTCGTCTTTGGTAATTTTGGCCATTTTCTTCTTTAGTAATCCGCATCTTGAGGACTTGTTCGACAATATCTTCTTTCTTCTTCTTCTTTTCTTCATAAGCTTGTAATGACCCAAGAAGTTGCTCTATTGTCATAGCCTCTAAATCTTTTGTTTCTTCAATGACGGTGACAATATGCTCAAATTTTGGATCCAACGATCTAAGAACTTTCTCCATGATTCTCACGTCATCTAGCTTCTCTCCGTTTCTTTTAAGGTTATTAGTAACCGTCAACACTCTTGAGAAGTAATCGGAGACGAGTTCACCTTCCTTCATTTGCAATGCTTCAAATTCTCCTCTTAGAGTTTGAAGACGTACCTTCTTGACTTGATCGGCACCTTTGTAAGAGGTTCGAAGCTTCTCCCATGCTTCTTTGGCCGACGTAGCTTCAACGACCTTCTCGAACGTATCTTCGTCTAATCCTTGATAGATTAGACAGAGAGCTTTCTTGTCTCTCTTTCTTGAGTCTCTCAAACTATCCTTTTGAGTTTGAGAAAGACTACCTTCATTCTCCGGTTCAATGAAACCTTTCTCGACTATCTCCCACACGTCATGTGCTCCTAGGATAGCCTTCATTCGTAGACTCCAATTATCGTAGTTGCTCTTTGTGAGCGTTGGAACTTGGAAGGGAACATTGTTACTCGCCATCTTTAGGATCTTCAAGCTCTGATACCACTTTGTTAGAGTAAAATTCTTTTAGAGGTAATGGAGAAAGTGTTTAAGTATTTGAGAGAGAGTTTTAGGAAATAGAACTTTTATTACTTTGATTTTAACTTGAAGACAACTTCATAATCTTACAACAAATGAGAGAGGGAGGAGGTATTTATAGCCTCCAAACTACAAAATATCTAAAATATTTTAATCCTAAATCTAGAGAGTTCTTAACATAATATCTAGATTACAATATTCTAATTATCTAGATTATTCTATAAGAATATCTAGATTTTTATGTTTAAGGAGGTGGAAGATGATTCTAGAAAATTTCTAGAACATTTTAAGGAGGTGGTAATTATGATATTTCTAGAGAAAACTCTAGAACTTGGATTTGACCCATCAAATAATTATTGGGTAATTAACCCAATAATTAAACTTGATTCAAAATCAAGTTTAACTTTCAACAGCTCTTTCATCTATATATAGTTGTAGACAACTTGTACACTCTGCTCGCAAGATGGTGGGCTAGTGGTAGGGCGAGTCTGGAGTTGAGGGTGAAATCCCCGAACCCAGGTTCGATCTTCCTCCCTCGCTGTTATCAACACTTTGTGGGAAGTCTGGGCTTGGGCTTCGGCCCAGGCAGTTTACCTGGTAGTCTGGTAACAGGCGATCCAGCTACCCCCAGGCATTAGTCGGAAAGCATTCCAAACTTGGGTTAGGCAGTGTGGTAGCCCATCCTTCGGGGTGGTAGTGAGTCCACATGGTAGCACTTCGGTGCGTTCCCCCAGGGCTGACCGGATCAGCCGATCGGGTATATCAAAAAAAAAAAAAAAAAAAACTTGTACACTCTATATTACAGAATAAAAGTAGAATCTCTTAGGGAGTTCTAGACTTTTGAAAAATTAAATATTGATCTATAAGTTGGTCTGTTAAAGTGATGATCTAGATTGTTAATTTTAAGATATATATTTTTTTTATTTGGGTCACATTTTATTTGGTCTTATACGTGATGGACCTCTTTTAGAAGGATCTTCATATCTAGTCAATTGACTGATTAATCGCAAATTTTCCTGTGTTTTCTTTGTAACCACCTTTTTCAATCTTTATAAAGTATACGACGTACGTAAGAGACATCCAAAACATTTCGTTTAGATTTTGATAGGTTATGTTGTACGTTGTAGTGACTTAGTAACGAATAAGGACATGCATCAACGAGAATTACATAACTAAATCGACTAATTTGACATTTTGTATTAATAGTTGGTAATCAATCTCTCGTCACGCACTGATAATAGCAAATTTGTTCTATGACTCTTTCTTTGTCGCTAGTTTTCCTCGGCACCATTGCCATCCGTTACTAGTTACAACGCTGTCTCGGATAACATAGCTATTTAGCTATGGATTGGCGAAATACATAACCTTGTACTCTTGTAGCTAGCTACAACAAAATAGCTACAAATTTTTTCGTTTTCCATTTTCATCGTTAATTTATCGTTCTTCCATAATTTGTTTACCAGATAGACGTTGTGTATTACTAGATATATATGATCCATTGCAGTGACTTCTGTGAAAAGTAACCTTTGTAACAAACAAAAGGACTGCGAAGCCTAAATCTTAAACCACGTAAAATTCGAAGGAACAAAACACTAACGAAGCTTTGAGTAAAATCCTCCAAGGGGTAATTTTAGTTGGTGTTTATTGAACTAAGGCCCAATAATCGTAAAAATACTGAAATGGGCTAATTCCGGGTCGTCGGGTCGGGTTTAAAGAAAGACAGGGTCGAGATTTCAAGAGAAACCCTTACTCAGGCGGACTAAAACCCCGATCTCACTTGTGTTTTGCCTTTCTCTTGTACAAGTCAAAATGGCGTCCGTAGTTCTTCGAAACCCTAGCTCGAAGCGTCTTGTTCCATTCTCTTCCCAGATCTACTCTCGTTGCGGTGCTTCTATTACTTCCTCTTACTCGATCTCTCATTCTATCGGTGGAGATGATCTCTCTTCCTCTACCTTCGGAACCTCTTCTTTCTGGAGATCCATGGCCACTTTTACTCGAAAGTTAGTTTTCTTTCCATTTTTTGCTTCTTTTTCGCTCTTCAGATCGGAAAGTTGGAAAATTGGTTGGTGGGTGACTCTGATTGTGATTGGTGTTGATTCTCTGCTTATGTTAATCTATGTAATTGCTCTTGTGGCAGTAAACCTCATGTAAATGTTGGAACTATTGGGCATGTTGATCATGGAAAGACCACTTTAACTGCTGCAATCACAAAGGTGCTTCTTTTTTGTATATTTGTTATATGAAAGTTCCAAAATTATTGTCAAAGAACCTGTTTTTGAGTTGATATTGTGATCCTACTAATGTTTTAGGTTCTTGCTGAGGAGGGCAAAGCTAAAGCTATTGCCTTTGATGAAATTGATAAAGCTCCTGAAGAGAAGAAGAGAGGAATTACTATTGCCACGGTCTGTATTATCTCCTGTCTCCTAATTAGGTTCCAAGCCTATATTTTTACTTGATGTTACTTGTTTCTGTAGGCTCATGTGGAGTATGAAACTGCGAAGCGTCACTATGCTCATGTGGATTGCCCTGGGCACGCTGATTATGTTAAAGTAAGATGCCAATATTTTTTTTTACTTCTAATAACAAAAGGGGTTGCCAATAATCAGATTCTAGGAACTAAAAGTGTACTGGTGTGATCATTTTAAACATGACATGTTACACATTTTCTCGAAACTCTGACTCCAATTTGGTGATCGGTTTTGAACTATTACTAGAAGGGTTATTCTCTAGGGATGCATCATAATCTAGTATTTGTGAATTGTTTAGTGGAGTAACATGCATCAGTTATGGATTTCCTTAGAAATACTGTGAAAAACAGTTTAGCCTCACTGCTGTAGTTGCTAACTTTCAGAATATGATTACTGGAGCGGCACAAATGGATGGTGGAATTCTTGTGGTTTCAGGACCAGATGGACCCATGCCGCAGACAAAGGAACATATACTACTTGCTCGCCAGGTGCACATTATTAAACTATGTACACTTGAAGCTAATCAGTTGAGTTAGGTTGTTTACCACAATTTGAATTATGCAATGTTCCACAGGTTGGTGTTCCATCACTTGTGTGCTTCTTGAACAAAGTTGATGTGGTGGATGATCCTGAGCTGTTGGAGCTTGTCGAGATGGAACTACGAGGTTTGTAGATTTTTTTATCTCACAAAATTTCTTTCTTTCAGCATAAGAAGTAAGTTCAAGCTTTCTGACATCAACTCTTGTCACTATACAGAACTCCTCAGCTTCTACAAGTTTCCTGGGGATGATATTCCCATCATCCGAGGATCTGCTCTGTCCGCATTACAGGGCACCAATGATGAAATTGGAAGGCAAGCTATATTAAAGCTAATGGATGCTGTTGATGAATACATACCTGACCCTGTTCGCGTGCTTGACAAGGCTTTCTTGATGCCAATTGAAGATGTTTTCTCAATTCAAGTACACGAGTCTACATCCTTGTTGTTTTCTGATACACTCTTTAAAAAAACAATCAGTTCTGATACTTCTCTTTTTTCTTGAAGGGACGTGGAACTGTTGCAACCGGTCGTATTGAACAGGGAACCATTAAAGTGGGTGAAGAAGTTGAGATATTGGGTTTACGTGAGGTGAGTGTGCATAAATATTGTGTTTCTACTGCCAAAGTGGTGATTACTTGGGGTTATAAAATTAAGCATTTTCTTTAGCGTAACTGTGAGAATTGATTTTCAGGGGCTTCCACTGAAATCGACTGTAACTGGGGTTGAGATGTTCAAGAAGATTTTGGATAATGGACAGGTAAAGCCAATATCAAGAGATTGCAAAGATAAGTTCTGGGCATGTAAGATACTGATTAAATATTGGCTTCTATTATGCTAGGCTGGTGACAATGTAGGACTTCTCCTGCGGGGGCTAAAGAGAGAAGACATTCAGCGTGGAATGGTAAGCTTATGACTACTGGATAATTGAATAATAAGACCAACACAGCAAAACAAGCTTTACATAAGTTTTAATTTTCACTACGGTTGGTTATTAGGTGATTGCTAAGCCTGGTTCGTGCAAGACGTACAAGAAGTTTGAAGCAGAGATTTACGTGCTCACTAAGGACGAAGGAGGACGTCACACGGCTTTTTTCTCCAACTACAGGCCTCAGTTTTACTTGAGGACTGCAGATATCACTGGAAAAGTAGAACTACCCGAGAATGTGAAGATGGTCATGCCCGGTGACAATGTAACTGCAGTTTTTGAGCTAATCATGCCTGTCCCACTCGAAACAGGTAAAACAATCTTGCGGACATTCTTTCTTGGTGGTTCAACAAGTTTTTGATGATTTCTGATTGTCTTCACTTTTCTCTTGTGCAACAGGGCAAAGATTTGCCTTGAGGGAAGGAGGTAGAACAGTTGGAGCTGGTGTTGTGTCAAAAGTGATGAGCTAAATAACTCAAAAGCACAATTCTTCTCCTTTGTTCAAGCTTTTTTTTTTCCCTAGGAATCCATCAATTATGAGATTTTTTTTTTTTGTTACTGCTTTGAGATTTCGGGTAGATCAAGTAACAGTGTTTTTGGGTCAAAACTTGGGCCTTACAAAACTAATAAATACATTGGAACCCTTTTTTTTTTTTTTTCAATTCCTTTATCCCCATTTTTCGTAATCGTATATAGTTATTCCTATACATGGATTTTTTTAGCCATTGGAATGGCTGGTAGTACCAGCCTGGTACTGTTCAGATGGTGCGTATAAGAAGCTTTGAAGTACAAGCCAACAATACTTCTTGAGATAAAAAAGCATGACATCTTAACTCACTGTCTGATTGGTAGGAATAAAAGGGGTGAATAAAAGAGTTCAACCCTAGGAGTGAACCCAAACTGTCAGTGAGCTCGTAGCTCCACTAGCATCTGCAGCCAGGATCAATCAAAATTACATTGAGATGATATTCTAAATTGGTTAGAGTTTTTATAATTTATTTTCCATTTGTTTAGTTAATAATTTGTGTCTTGGAGTACTAGCTATAATTTGTTTTTGAATACGAATCGTAGCTAGTTTTTCAAATTGGTGGAGCCAAGTTTTAAATTGTGAAACTCAATTATTAGAATTGACGTTCATGCATATCGTTTGATGCGTCATGGAGCTGGTTTCTTATTGGGCCTTTTGTTTCTGTTTGGGCTTCATTGTAAGCAATGATGAGACTGTCTTTTTGTAATGTTTCATATATCAATAATACTCGGTGACAAAAAAAAAAAAAAAGAATTGACGTTCATGCAAATACTTGTTTATTAGAATGAGTTATTTATATACTCAGTCTCGTATGAATATTTTGAACTTTGTGGGAAAACCATTGGGAAGAGAATCGAGCTCCAGGGAAATTTGTATATTTAGGGACTTTGATTCTTATTTGATTCTCTTCACACAAATAAAGTTTCATGGGTTTTACTTTTCCATGTTCAAACCGAAGAACATCATCATCATTGTTGAGTGACTTGATCGAAAAGCTACCGACGAAATATGAGTTTTTTAGGTTATAATTTGCCACAGGTTGGTGTTCCATCACTTTGTGAGCTTCTTGAACAAAATTGATATGGTGGAGAATGAAGAAATGTTGGAGCTTGTGGCAAACGCATTCTTGCAGAACAATTTATTCTCTTCAAAATTCTTCACCTCTTAATCTTAGGTTCTACAACACAATATCATCTTCACATTTACAGCTCAGTACTAAACAAGTTTTAGTCATTTACAAACGACCTTTTAGAACTTAGAAGCTTTCCATGGAGTAGTAAATCAAGATCACCGCGAGTTTTCAACATGCAAACCTAAGCGCAAACACCGCCATTACCGTGGCAGCTCTGTAGTAAACCTCCTTGATACTTCTCTCTACACTGTTTATGATTTCGTCATCCTTCAAACTTGAACAGGGTTTGTTCCCTTTCCTATTGACATGAACAATCACTTCCCTGAGTCTATTCACAGCCCATGACAGTATTACCAAACTGAAACCAAGCCCAGTGTCGAAGAACTTGTTTGCGCAAAAGGGTACACGTCTTGAAGCAAGGCTACAGACGACAGAAAAGAGCACAGCGATTCCAGTTCCAGCGACAGTGATAGAGAACTGAGTCAGAAGCTCTGAGAGCTCTCCGCATGATTTCTGTAAAGAGAGTACTGTTGTGTGTTTGTGTTGGTGATCATTGCCTATCATTAAAGACAGAAGGCTCTCGTAAGCGTGGAGATGGTTTCTTTTGTATAGGTCCCTTTCTTTAGCTTTTCGCTTCGTGTTGTGTTTCCTTGGTGACTTGAGCCTGGTTTTCTCAGGACTTGTTCGAACAAAAAAAAGAATACGAATATGAGAACAATAACAACATAAAAGTAAGTATATTTGGAAGCAAGTAACAATAAGATTAAATTACCTCTTCAAAGGTGCTAGCACTGTAACCGCTTTCAGCTTAGCCGGTGTAAATACTTCACTTTCAAACCTGCTTAGAAAAATAGTGAAAGATTTTAACACCGACAAAATAAACGCAACACAAACGAACGTAAGTCTGGGCAATGGATTTTACCTCTGAAAGTGTGGGATAAGCGGTGAGAGCTGTCTCCATTTTGTTGAATTCCTTGACAAATTGAACTCGGAAGCAATAGAAAGTAGATCATTCAACTCACGATTGCTACTTGAAGAGAACAGAACATTCGATCGCACAGAGAACTCTGGATTATCCATCATATCCCTAACGAGATCCAAAACCGGTTTCCCTAATTCTTGATTCAAGTACAGAACAGAGGAAGTATCATATGGTCGTAGCTGAGAACTGGATTTCATAGCCTCTAATTCCATCAATTCATTTAACAGAGACATATTGAATCCTTTTTCCTTGAACTCCTCTGACTGAGACAGAAGAAACTCCATCACCTTTTCTTGTCTCGCAGACTTATCGGCGATTCCAAAGCTCAAAACCAGCGATTCTGGTGCCGTCTCTGCATTAACCATAAATCAAGTTCATGTAAATTAGATTACCATGAACTACCATTAAGCAATTTGATAAATCAGAAGCAATTGAGATTACCATGAACATCCATGAGCAGAGGTTTCATCATGGCTGAATCAATCTCCACGAATTGGCTAAATGAAGAAACAGGTTTCCATGGTTCCAAGTGTTCTGGATTCAGATTGAAGGAGCTTGCAGGTATGATCTCTTGTCTTGCTCCGGGATTCACCCGATGAGACCGGCTATTCTGCTGATTCATTCATTCACAATAACATAATCAAAACAAGAGCCATCGAATCCAACATAGCGGAGACGCAAAAAGGCAAATGAAAGATGCTAACTTTACATGAACCCAGATAAATTGAACCATTCAAATCATCAAATTCAACAATATGTAGACGAAAGACACCAATTTTACACGAACCTAGATAACTGAAGCAACCAAATGATGGGTCTGAAGAAAATCAATTGGTTACCTTGATGATTTCGGTGTTACAGAGGTCTTGAGGAAGACCAAGGCCAGGGATTGAATAGCCATGAGAAGTCATGAAGCAAAGCTTGATCATTTTGTTGTTGTTGAAGATGAAGAGAAAGAAACAAAGTTGAATCCTTTCGAAGAAAACTTGGTTCTTCTCTTCTCTTGTTCGTCAAAAATCCATGGGGGTATAGAAGAAGAAGAAGAAACAAAGCTTATCGCTAAGACTTCACCTACGCCGCAGAATTGAGATTTAAGAATCTTCTGGATTTTGGCTGGGACCGAAGAAGAAGACACTTGAATTCTTAAGATTTTTTTGAGGCTTAGATTTATTCAATTACCAAACTAAACCCGACTCTATGTCGACCCAAAGAAACAAATTACAAAACTTTGACCCCAAGTATGTATGTCGACTAATTATTTATACCCAAGTATTTCGTATTTATAAAAAAATACAATATAAGAAATTATTTCCCATATTTATCTACACTTTTTTATTTATACAAAACTAAATTAGGCAAAAAAAATATTAAACGAAGAAAATAATTTTTGTGGTAGTTTTGAAGGTTGAAAGTTTAGTTTTAAACTTTTAATTTGGTGGTCTTTTTGGAGTTGTAGTTTTGGAAAATAAAATTGATAATGGTATTTTTGGAAAAATTTAGAACCTTTGACAAAGCTTTAACTAAATAATACACAGACCAAGAGCAAGTCGTGAGAGTTTTTAATCAAATGTATGAAACAACAATTACATATCCAAAGGACCCAATTAATTTACCCCAACAACATCTACAACAATGACACTTACAACAGCATGAAACCGTTACAACATCTCAGTAAGAGAGCGTGCGCGCTACATTAACCTAGGAGAGCCAGTGTTGGCTACAGGAGTGGCTGTAGCAGAGCTACTAGCTTCTGAGTTGTATCGGGTCGTACCTTGAGAAGTCCTCTTGGTCCGTACAAGAGGATTGCTTTCCTCCTCATCGACTGCTCGTGGTCGGTCAAAATCATTGCCTTTGAAAACCGGATGCACGTAAGCATCTTTCAGATATTCCTTGAGGTTTAGATTCGGTTCAGTCGCTTTTTCTAGTGTATCCTTCACCATTGCTTCCTGTTAAGATATTCAATCCCAAAAAATCAGTTGGAACACTTGTATAAAAGTCTTTCTTTTTTTGCTGCAAGAGGTTTTGCACTCATCACCTGTAAGGGAAATTTTGAGAAGGCCGATTCAAACCGTCCTGCGCAGTATCTGTAAAACCAAAAGGTTAAGATAGGCTGAGGGAGAAGCAGAGCTGTTACTTTTGCAAATTTCTTTGTGCTGAGCAAACCCATCATCAGAAGCTGTGATATTATTAAACATATGATCAAACGTCTATGAACGTCTGGCCAGTATCTAGCCCCACTCTCATATTTCTGGTCGTAGACATTTATAACCTTGCAACAGTAGATAACACATAATGACGTAAATGCATATATTGCTTTGGAAGAATACTATGATATTTTTAGCTTTTAAGGTACCTGATGCCGGAAAACAACGTAGGCGAAAGCAAAGAAGACAATAATGAATGGAAGAAGAATTGGCGCAACAGCAGCGTATACAAGGCCTAGCAAGAAATAGAACTGAATCCGTGGTTCAGATGTTGCAAAGTCCAGATGTCCTGGATCCATTGCTTGCTGCCTGTCTTGTTCTGTCTTAACCAAGAACGTGTTTTTCAGATGAAAAATGACTAATGGAACCACTCTGAGTATCTCAGCTGCAATTCCAGCCCAACCATCGACCATTATATAAGTGATGAAAAATGTGGCCTTCATTGGGATTGACACACCAACTGTTTTCGGGATCCTAAGTAAAGAGAGAAAGAAGTGGAGATCAATAAATAGTTGTTCACGTGTTATCAGGTTGAAAATTTGACACAATGGGAACATCTCACCAAGTACTTACTCGGTTGGTGGTTGCTCAAGGAAAGATTTAAGCTGCTGAAATGCTGTCCCGGTAATGATGCTTCCAAGAAAGACATTGACAATAATGAACCAGAAATACTTTTCAGCTGATCTTCTATCTAAATAGGACAGCGATGTATATCCTTCAATTTGTGACATTGTCATCAGAATAGTCGGAAGTATGATGAGAAAAATCTTTAACGCTATTCCTGGAAGAAACCCTTGGATTACAGACTTTACAGTCTTCCTGCATATGAGCAAAAAACGAATAACATAAGTGAATAAATATTAAGCAGTGGATAAATGAATGGCATGAGCGATCAAGTTCCAAGGCAACAGTCAAGAATAAATTTCTGTTTATCATACAGAAATGGGGACTAACATTTCTATTACAGGCTTCAAGAAAGGGAGAACTTTTTGGATCCCTTCAAGGTTGGCAAGAGACTGAACAAATGCTATAGGAATCATGAAGCAGAAAATAAGAAAAAACAGTGCAACTGTTGTGAGCAATCTTCTTATTGAGAGCTCAACATATGGAATAGCGAGATTATCCCAGAAAACATCGCGTGGTTCGGGAGCCCATTCCGTCAACCATATTGTGGGATTGTGGCATTGCTGCGTTTGAGCACAGACAGCTGTTCCCCACCGTGATCTGAAGGAAACAAATGCTGCCGGCATGATAGACTTAGGATCGTTCATGATCTTTTCTCTTTCTACAGCCTCCTGTGTATGTAAAGAATTACAAATGCACTTACTTATAATAAAGACGAAAATGATATGAAGACTACTTCTAAAGGTGAGAGTACATACTTGCTGAGCCAAAATATCCATCTTTGAAGTATAGAAGTCAATTGCATCAACTGTAGTTCCCCAAAAACCTCCATAACCTGTCTATATGATAAATTAAATAACTACCGACGAGAAATGAATCATGATAAGCATGAAATTCAAAGAGTCATTTGGCTGAAACATTACAGAGCTATGTGGTCAAAGGTTAAAATAGTCTTGCAACAAGAAGTACCTTTGTTGTTGGCCTACTTGATGGCTTCCTCTCAAATTTATTTTCGTAGTAAGTCAACCAATTTTGCATAGCTTTTCTCTGTGCGACTAATTTTGCAAGGTCATTTGCATTGTACACTACCTGGAACATCAAATTAGAAAACACATGACATTCTTGAAGAAACCAAAAGTTTCTTTGAGCTCTGCGTCAAACAATAATTCTGAATATCACTCTATTCATGGTTTTCGAGATATTATAGATGAATTTACATCCAGGCAGCTAAAGAAACGTACCTGATGACAAAGATAATGATCTGGATGATTTACACAAAAGAAGTGCTCCACATGTTCGTTTACTGATTCATCAGGATCTGGAGGAACATTTCTCACGAGTACCTGCAAAAGCGTAGATGGCAATAGTTCAAAGAACAAACATGAGTAGCAAAAAGCAGGTCACCTATTCAAATTTCAGAAACTACAAAATAATCAAAATAAGTGATAAATCTATCTTGTATGGGTATGTAAAATGCTGGCCCTAGCTGTTATGATCACTAAGAAGCATTTTCCTAAAAGCATACATAAAAGCATCATTCCCAAATATATATAACTCACAGTGAGTTGATCAGGACGACGACTTTCTGCTGCTAGATGTCTCAATCTCATATTAGCCACAGTCTTATATTCCATGTATAATATGTAGCAAGTCCAGAGTGTAATCACGTATGTCATAGTTATATGAGCCCAAAACCTGGAACCAAGAAACTTCCAGCCGTCTTAGTTGATAAAATAGAAAGCTGCACATACCATCACACGCATTGTAAAAAAGAAAGCACTATTGCCCAACACTAATGGAAAACAAACTCTTTATAATGACACTGTCTATAACTTGCAGATAACAGTCCACAAAATTTGGCAAGGTGCTATACATATACCCTGAACTGAGAGAAAGCAGTAGTCAATAATGCGGAAATATGTCTCTAAAATACCTTGGCGATCCTGGTGGAACATTCGATATTGAAAGCTTGTCGACGTTACTGAATGTCAAGTCATCGATATTTTCTAGCGTTTCTCCTGTCCAATTGACAGGAACCAAAACTCCAAAAGCAAGTAGTGTTATCGGGACGAACATTTTCAATCTGAACAACAACAAAACAACCTAAGAAACATGCTTGTGCCTCACAAGAATGTATTCAAGATCAATGGTAATCAAAAGAAGTTACATACCCGAGAAGGTAAATACGGATATATACAGCAGAATCAAGGCCTGCATGTTCGATAAGCTCGGGTTCGGGCATTTTAAGCGCAGCAGGCATCCAATTAAGAAACTTGACATAAGTAGTCCAATCTAAATTCACAAATCTAGTCATGATTCCTCTAGAACGCGTTGGACTTCCTCGTATCCCTTTGAGATACCATTTTGGGAAGTAAACTCTATCGTTAACAGGCTGAAGTCTAAGCATAGCAAATGCAAACAAGAAAGCAAATGCAGATAAAAGATTTATAGCTGCAGATAAACCAATATCTTGTACTGAAGCCATCTTCTCTTTAACTCAATTCTAACCAAAAATGTTTCTCAATCCTGTTAAAGAGATCACCAAAAAAATACAAAATTTAATTCGTTCTTTTTCAATTTTCTCTCGTTTTTTTCAGTGTCTGAGAGTTACCAGAGATGGAGGAGGCGATTTGGTTTTTTTTTTTTTTTGTTTCTGACAGTTTCCCGAGAAAATCGAATTGGCGATTGACTGTGAGAAAGTGAAATTCCGGGAAGAGAGGAGAAGACAAGAGAAAATGGCGCCATTGACATTGTTCTTCTTCTCCAACGACATTTCATCTTCTTCCTCCGATTCTCCGAATTTTTCTGCTTCTCTCTCGAATTTTGTTTTTGATTTTTTTGCTCGATATTGACATTGTTCTTCTCTCAAATCAAATTTTGAATAAGTTAATATTAAAAAGAAAATATATAATTTACTGTAATTTTTAGGCTTTTTAACTCAATATTAAAAATAAAATAATTATATAGCAAAAGAAGTGTAAAAAAAAGTGTAGGTATAGCAAATAATTACTGGAAAATAATTATTTATGATATCAGTTTCTAGAATTTATTTATGTTGGATTTGAATTGCAAAATTAGATTGCCTTTTAAAACTTTAGAATTATATATTTTGACAAACAAAAAAAAAAAAAAAACTTTAGAATTATATTGTTTTTGAGATTTATTTTGAAAAGTTATATAAAGAAATCTTTTTAACTTCTCACGGATTTAAAGGAAAAATGCATTATATATATTTATTGTTAAGATTTTTTTAATAAATCATGGAATGTGTGCATTAATGATTATAAACTTTTTCTCAATTAACTTTTCTTGATACTAATTACACACTTCACATTTTTAAAGTGAATTAAAAAATGTAATTAATGCTTTATTCTGGCCAAAACAAATAAGGCAATTAGCCAAAAAAACGTTGCGTGTAAACAACGCTCAGTTACGTGTCAAGCTTTGATTGGTTATTGCTTCACCGCCTAAGCTTTCTCGTGACCGAGTCGTCCTCGTCTTCTCTTTTCTATAAATTAATACCCAAAGATCTCTTCTTCTTCACAATTCAGTTTCCAATTTCTCAACAATCTTAAAACCATTCTCTCAAATCTCTCAACCCTGATCAAGGTAGACTTCTGGGTTCTTGCTCAGTTTCTTCGATTTTTTTCGTTCGATCGTGATTGAGTTTCTGTTCTTTGAATTTGATTCTGTTTATTTTTGATCGGAGACAAATTTCTGAGTTTCATCGTTAGATCTCATCTTAATTCTCGATTAGGGTTCGTAGTTTTCGTAGATCTGTGTTTTACGCGTTGATTCTTTGAATTTGATCCGATTTGTTCTAAGAAATTGAGTTTTGTCTCTGAGATCTATCCAGATCTGGTATTAGTTGCTTGATCTGATTCTTGTTTGTGCGATTAATCTCAGTTTTTTTTTTCTGATGAACAGATGCAGATATTCGTTAAGACTCTCACCGGAAAGACTATCACCCTTGAGGTGGAAAGCTCTGACACCATCGACAACGTTAAGGCCAAGATCCAGGACAAGGAAGGCATTCCTCCGGATCAGCAGAGGCTTATCTTCGCCGGAAAGCAGCTAGAGGATGGCCGTACGTTGGCCGATTACAATATCCAGAAGGAATCCACCCTCCACTTGGTCCTCAGGCTCCGTGGTGGTATGCAGATTTTCGTCAAGACCCTAACGGGAAAGACGATTACTCTTGAGGTGGAGAGTTCTGACACCATCGACAACGTCAAGGCCAAGATCCAAGATAAGGAGGGCATTCCTCCGGATCAGCAGAGGTTGATCTTCGCCGGAAAACAGTTGGAGGATGGTAGAACTCTTGCTGACTACAACATCCAGAAGGAGTCCACCCTTCATCTTGTTCTCAGGCTCCGTGGTGGTATGCAGATTTTCGTCAAGACTTTGACTGGAAAGACTATCACTTTGGAGGTGGAGAGTTCTGACACCATCGACAACGTCAAGGCCAAGATCCAAGACAAAGAGGGTATCCCACCGGACCAGCAGAGATTGATCTTCGCCGGAAAGCAACTTGAAGATGGCAGAACTTTGGCTGACTACAACATTCAGAAGGAGTCTACACTTCACTTGGTCTTGCGTCTGCGTGGAGGTATGCAGATCTTCGTGAAGACTCTCACCGGAAAGACCATCACTTTGGAGGTGGAGAGCTCTGACACCATTGACAACGTGAAGGCCAAGATTCAGGATAAGGAAGGTATCCCTCCGGACCAGCAGCGGTTGATTTTCGCCGGCAAGCAGCTGGAGGATGGCCGCACCTTGGCTGACTACAACATCCAGAAGGAGTCGACCCTTCACTTGGTCTTGCGTCTACGTGGTGGTATGCAGATCTTTGTCAAGACTTTGACCGGTAAGACCATCACCCTTGAAGTGGAGAGCTCAGACACCATTGACAATGTGAAGGCCAAGATCCAGGACAAGGAAGGCATTCCTCCAGACCAGCAGCGTCTCATCTTCGCTGGAAAACAGCTTGAGGATGGCCGCACCTTAGCTGACTACAACATCCAGAAGGAGTCGACCCTTCACTTGGTGCTAAGGCTTCGTGGTGGCATGCAGATTTTCGTGAAGACTCTGACCGGGAAGACTATCACACTGGAGGTGGAGAGCTCCGACACCATTGACAACGTGAAGGCCAAGATCCAGGATAAGGAAGGTATCCCTCCGGACCAGCAGCGTCTCATCTTCGCTGGAAAGCAGCTCGAGGATGGTCGTACTTTGGCCGACTACAACATCCAGAAGGAGTCGACCCTTCACTTGGTCCTTCGTCTCCGTGGTGGCTTTTAAAACTTGTCTCCTCTTACCTTGTAATGCCCGTAATGAATAATTGATGAAGTATGTTTCCGTTCTTTTGTCTCTCCTTTCTTTCTATAATGACAAATTGAAGTATTGAACTTCTTCACCTCTTGGATTATCATGCGAGTGTCTTTTCTATGTGCTTCGTTTGCTTAATAAGCCTGAAAATTAACGTGCAAAACTTGTAATAGCAGATGTTATTAATGGTTGAATATCAATCTCTGCCTCTCCTATTATGTCAGCAGCAGAAAATGTATCATAATCATACACTTGCTTCAATCACATAAGTAACCGTAAGATATACATAATCATCCATTTCCTTTTACCAATTTTGAAGAAACCAAACTCGTTAATCTTGTTACCAGCTGAGGAACTTCGCCATATCGTCTTCTGTTTCGTTCCAGCCACAAATGATAGATGGAGCTTTGACAAGAAAATCTCAGCACAAACAAATTGATTTCATCATTACGAGCAGGTGTAATCCTTTGAATCAGATTATCCCATTTGTTGGTGTAGTTTGAATGAAGGATGCCTAGAACTGTAGTCATCTTCCAAACTTCCTTCATTGCGGATATTTTTTTATAGCATAAATTGTTATCATACTCATCTACTACTCATAAAGGAAAAGCATATAAATTATCCAACTTTTCTTCAAAATCTCAAAATTCTTTGACAAAACGATAGTCTTTGTTTATGTCATTACCAGAGTTGGAAAAAAAAACAAACCAAAAACACCATAAGCAAACTATACACTGAGAAGAAAAATAATAAAGAGCTCAATAGATGTTTACACTAATGGTAGATTAGCTCAAAGATCCAAGCTTTACTCTATATAGAGCACGACCCAAAAGCCCTTCATATCTCTTTTATTCTTAAAACTGATTTTATTTCTATAAAGAGATGAAATCTTCTGTAATGAAGACACTTAGAGCTCTGTCTCTTTGTCAAAAAAGTCCCAGCCCTCTTCCAGGAGCTCCTTACGATCATCTTTTCCCTCGTTAACCAAAGCTTTTGGGCTCGTGTTGTTGCTCGAGGCTTCAGCTGTTTCATAAGATGCCTCCAAAGGCTTCTCTAGCAATAAGCTCTTCATGGATGATGCGGAAGAAGCCAGTTTACAGCTAGTCTGGCTTGAGGTAATTGATTGGCTCAATGGCACTCGGTTGTCGAATTTCTCTTTCAAGTGTCGGATGTCTTGACAGATCACAGAGATTTCTCCTCTGTTCAAGGAAGTACCAAGAGAGTGAAGACTAGTTAAGATCGCACTTAGCAGACAAGATTCACCATAAGATTCTAAATGTTTAAAACAACAAATATATCATTGACAGCTATTCATCCTAAACCCTAATGCTTCACAAGGATATTAATGTGAATTGCCAGTAGCAAGGAAGAACACTTACTGTAAGGAATCAACAATCCGACCATGATCCATAAGAAACTCTCGCAGCTGAAGAAAGAGCAAGATAAGTTAAGAAGTTGTGACTTCAGATTCAGAAACATTCATTCATAGCAATCTCAAGACAGTGATGTTACCTTGGAGTTTTCTTCTGCCTCTTGCTGTAGAAGCTTTGATTCTTGGACAACTTTTTCCATGATCGCTTCTTGTTCAGCAAATGCCTTGCGTGCAGACCCTTCTTTTTCCTGCTTTTCTTGCTCAGCAGCATTTTTTATCTCCAGCGCTGCCGCTAGTCTTATTTCAAGAACTTCACGCATCTAAAAGCAAAAAAAGGAAACGCAATCAGCAAAATCTTACAGTGCGAAACAACAGAAGTTAATAGTGTGTATTGTTAAGAGAAGATTAATGGAACTGCAAATGAACAAAACAGAAATACTAAGTAAAACAAGTTGGATCTAATCGTGTGGCCTGCACGGACCTCATCAAGAACAGAAAGAGATTTGTCTCGTTCCTCTGATAAGTTGAGCAACCGATTTTCAAGCTCGTTAACTTCAGTGGTCAAAATTGACCTCTCCCCATAAACTTCTCCAGCATCCTGTGACATACAAACGATTAGTTCCCTATTAAACCTAAGCACATTAACACAAACGTATCAGTACAATATTAGTAACATAAAGTCACCATGTCATTTGCCTCCTTCGCATGTTCCAGCATCTTCTTCAGCTCCTCCACCTTGTCAAGAGTATCAAAGCCTCCTCTAGAAGCATCTTCCTTTGCCTTTTCTGCATCCTTTTCTTGAAGTTCAACTTCTCTCATCAGATTCATAATCGACTCCATCACAGTGAACAAGGTTTTCTACATCATTACAAAATAAAAAGAAGAGTATGATACTGAGATATCGCTAAAGAAACACTCCTATCGAACACATAACCCCAAAAATTAATTATTTCCTGGAGATTAAAGAATACCAAAATATACACTAGCATACCTTGTTACTTTTGGCATCTTCAATGATCTGTTCAAGGTGGACAATGTTGCATCCCTGGGTTGATCTGCTAACAACAGAGCTAAAAGCACCAACCAGCTCTGGATCACCATTTTCAACTGCCAAAGAGCCCTTTGATGTCACATCCACAAGATTTGAACCACTCAACTCTGCATCGCTATTTTCAACAGCCAATGAACCACTTGATGTCTCGTTCACAATATCGATACTCCCAAATCTAATTTGAAGAGGAGGTGATTTCTGTGTCATTGCCGAATTGTCTGCAGGATAAACCAGCTTATGCACAGCATCTTCTGACTCTGAGCTTGTGCCAGCTTCTGCTTGATTACTACCTGTAATGTGAAACCCAACACCTTGACAACCATGGCTAGTCGATTTAGCTCCCGCCTGAAAAGAGACAGGGGTTTCTGAGGAAACCACTCCAGACTCTTCCGATCCGCTCAACCCGATCTTTGCGTTGCTCTGAATATCAAGATCAACATTTGGCATAACATGTGTCAACTGGTTCCTACTAGAAATTGATTCAGTAATTGGGGCCCTTGTTTCATGATCACAATCAACAGCCAGAGGGATACTTCCTGAAGAGGAAGAAGAACCTGTCTCTGAACCAGACAACACACCGTTCTGCATAGCACGTTCTACTGCATGTCCAAAGGGCATTTCATCAGAATAATATCCTCAAAAATATAATAGTATCATAGCAAAGAATAAGTACCTTTGTTAGGCACATTTCCGGGTGTCCTGTTCTCAGGTTGTGTAGAATTATCAGCCAAATTAGGGTAAAAGAAAGGAACAATCTCTGAAACAACTACAGCTGCAGCTTCATTAGCATCCTTTGGGTGCTCAATAGCAACAGCTTTTAAAAGCCTTGCATCAATCTGCAGAAAATCGTATTGTATAGATTAATAATAATACAAGTTGGTTCCAAAACAGTAACCAAAAGATGATCCAAAATCTAGAAGTTAGTTAACATCTGGAATATGAGATTACTTGATCAATCATCGCATAATATACAGGGAAATCTATACCGAACCTCAACAACATATATCGCCACAAGCATCTCGTAAAATCTACCATTACTCGAAGTCAAATCTAGTGAAAAATAGATAAAGATATGAGCTTACCTGAGGAAACAATTCTGTGAGAGATCGATAAACCGCTTTGTAACCCATCAGTGAAAAAATCAACTAAATCTGCAAGAAAGCAAAAACAAACGATTAATCCTGGGTAACAATGGTGAAACAGCTATATTGGGTTGATTCAAGTAATCCCAAAAGACAATAACTTCTCTGATAAGTATCGTCTAACTATTAAAATCAATAAATAAGAACTTACACATCATATTTATGCAAAACCCTAGAAAACTGCTTGAAGACACTACAGAATATGATTGCATCAAACAGACAAATACACGAAAGGCAGAAACTTTATGCGTTTAGGATTTTACAGCAAACACTAAAACCCTAATTTCGAATCAAAAGAAAGAAACTAAATTAGACAAGAAAATCACGACCTGATCATAACAATATATAAAAAATAATGATTTAGGAATCGAAACATAACAATATAGACAAAAAAAAAAAAACAGGTTTTTGAACAAGATGATCAAAATTCACCTCGAATTTCTCAGTGGGTTTTTCAAATTCTCAGAATCGGAAAGAAGCAAAGAAGATTTAGATCACACGAACCTTTCCGAGATTTTTCCGGTGAGAGATTTGACAGAGTAAAGGAAGCGGAAAAGGCGCAGCAATTCGGATGAGAGATTTTGAGAATTGTGAGAAACAGTAAATAAATTGTTTCTCGGAAAAATAATACAAGAAAGCAGAGGAAACTTACGCGGCTAAGAAACAAAAGGGTAGTTTCGGTAATTTAATAGTTTTTTAGACCGCCGTCGATTATTATTATTGGCGTAGCCCAGTAAATATTAAAGAATAAATAATGCTGGCCCAATACAATAGTAGAAATACTTTTAATTTGGGCCTAAGATAATGCTGGCCCAAAGTACTCCACGGTCCAGCTACTATAAGAAAAGAAAAACAAAAATTAGAGAATTAATTATTCGTCTATCCCTTATATATTAATTGAGAAGCATTGTTAAAAAATAACCTTACCCTTATGTGTGATTAACGAAAATGCCATGCTGATGTGTCGTTCTCACAAAGCTTATCAATCCATTTAATTAAAAACCCAATATTTACTAAGATATTTACAGATTTTGCCATTAATTTTATTTCTGTTTATTTTTCCAATTAATTTCTGTTTTTTATTTTAACCAATTAATTAAAACGAAAATACAATTAAAATATGTAATTAAGAAATACAAAATGGGGTACCAAATATTTTGTATATCTATTAATATAACAAGATATATATTATAAAACATGATAAACATAAACATTAATACATAAATAAAAATTTCGCTAATCTTGATAATCATTAATACACTACCGTTTGTCGAATAATATAAAAATCGAACGCCTTCAATATCATTAATACATTAATATATATTTAATAATCGTTTTGTCCCGCACAAGGTGCGGGTTTTTATCTAGTAGTATATATAATTAACGACTCTTGTCACTAATCATCCCTCTAACAGTCTCTCTCTCTCTCTCTACAATCGTTTTAACGATAACTCTCCGACGAAGAAGAAAACGAAAAAGAGTAAGAAGTCAAGAAAGATCACTAAATACTGTTATCTCTTTCGATCCAACGAAACAGAGATGTCTCTCTCAGACGATCATTTATCTTTTACGGGGAAGAATCGAGCGCGTACGAGTCAAGAATCACGAGAGAGCCCTCAAGGTTCTTCTTTCTTGCGATCCAAGGAAACAGAGACGTCTCTCTCCGACGACCCTCCACCTCCGAGGAAGAAAAATCGAGCGCTTACGAGTCAAGAACCGCGAGAGAGCCCTCAAGATTCTTCTTTCTTGCGATCCAAGGAAACGGAGAAGAAGAGTCAGACGAGTATGAGCCAAGAAACAGAGAAGCCGTTTGTTTCTCCGATTAACACAGATGATGAAGTCTTTAAGGGATATGAATCGTACTACGACAGTGACAAAATCTTTATGTACACTGCAAACACGTTGCATCCTTATGGTGACATGTTCGAAGGTTCTTTCATCACAAACTATATATGTATAAGACATTGCGCAGAAAAACCGATATTTTTCTCTGAATACTATTACTTCTTGGGTGTTGCAGGTTCTCTTGATTCTGCAGGGAACATTGGATCACAAAAAGATCCTGTTGCGCTCGAGATGCCAAGGTTGACGTTACACAACTCTGGAAGTCAAATTGGTGTTGGCCTTATTAGACCTGACATGGAACAAGAATTCTCCACAGAAATGCAGGGTAAGTAAAGTCTTTATTCCCCCTTGACCTTGTCGGATTTTGACTTGTTGCGGTTGTGAGGTGAGTTTATTATATGTTTGTCTACCACTTTAGGTGAAGGATATGATGGCACACACACTTGTGGCCCTTTGGAAAACAAGATTGATATTGCTGTTGGTTCTTTTGGAAACGTTGGATCGATTATGAACGCAGAAAGAGAGAAAGAAAAGACTGTGACGATCCCTACCCCTAGATTTGTCGAGGCACCACAATGGACCATAAAGAAGAGGCTGACCCAGTACGATACTAATCCTCATTATGACAGACTTATTCTGCAAAGGAGCTCCTTTGATGAGCACATTGGAAGACATTTGCCTAAAGCAGATTACCAAAAGGTAGTAGATAAAATCGGAACCACGACTGTTAACGTATATGACTACGACACGGACACAATGCATGAGCTGCGTCTGGAATTACAGAAAAGCTATGGTCTAAGGAGTGGCTGGGTGGAACATTTTGTTCGCAGGAGATGCTTGAGGCAAAACGAAGAGATTGGACTCTTATGGGATTCTTCTGCTTCTAGGATTCAGTTTGGCGTCATTTGTCGGCGTATGAGACGAAAGAGACAGACTTATAAATAGAAACGCAATTTACCAACTCCCAGAGGAAGTGTTTTTTCTTTCTTTTTCAAACATTTCTTATGATAGGTTTTTGTGTAGCCATCTTGAGATTTTGATGGGTCGGAGATAAACCAATGTATGATATATCAAATCATTAAAAGCACTTAATTATCCCTCTTTCTTATGTTTTTCTTACAGCCACTTTTATAATTCTCTCTTTTGATAAAATCTATCTTAAGCAAGAGTCACAAAGATAAAATGTTCTCAAACCCTAAACCCTATGCATTTGAAGATACAATCTTGAAACACAGACTGAGCCAAAAATGTTGACAATAGTTTATTAAGAAAAACAAAATCTGTTTTTATGTTTTAATCACTACTTTAAATGGTGGGCCATCAACTACATTATTTGTATGTTGTTGTTTGCTATGAAGTCAAACAAAGAAACATCACTTTGCTCAGAAGATCTAAAGATGGGGAAGAATAAAACTGTGAAGTACTTTGTGGTAATCTATTTGATTTCTCTCGAAATTGTTTTTTTTTTCAAATTCTTGACTAATGAAAATTGGTGTTGAAAGGTTGATGCTTTCACTGATTCGGCTTTCAAAGGGAATCCAGCTGCTGTTTGTTTTCTCAACGACGACGACAACAACGAGAGAGACGACACGTGGCTTCAGTCTCTCGCCGCCGAATTCAACATCTCCGAAACTTGTTTTCTTATTCCCATCACTGGTTTCGATGCTCGCTTCAGTCTCCGGTGGTTTACCCCTTTAGCTGAGGTTTCACCAACTATTTTGACTTTTGTTTCTTTTTAAAGTTTTCAACTTTAGATTGAGATTGATCCGAGTAACTTGTATTTTCTTGAATTGAAGAAATTTAGTGAGACCCTTTTTGATTTGGGGTTGTTTATTGCTTTGTAGGTTGATCTTTGTGGTCATGCAACTTTGGCATCTGGTCATTGTCTCTTCTCTAATGGTTTAGTTGATTCAGACATGGTTGAGTTTGTCACAAGATCAGGGATTCTTACAGCGAAGCGTGTTTCAGATACTTCAGAGCTCAATGATGGTGAAGTGAAAGGAGGAACCTTTTTGATCGAATTGAATTTCCCTGTGGTTACAACTTGTGATGTTAATCTCAGTGATGACTCGTCTTCTATGATCACCAAGGCCTTGAACGGAGCTACCATTGTTGATATAAAAGCTACTGCGACAAACAACATCCTCGTAATTTTGATCATTGGTTTTCCTATTCAACATTCTTACTTGTTTTGTCTCTGATTTCTAAAGTTTGATACTTTGTATTTTTGTCTGCTCGTAGGCTAACCAGCTACTCTGGAAATTGCATTGGTAGCAAGCATCCTTAATCTTTGTATGACTTTCGATTTACTCTCTTATGCACTTGCTTGTAGGTTGTGCTTCCATCTATGGAATCTGTCACTGAATTGCAACCAAGAATGGATGATATATTGAAATGCCCCTGCGATGGCATAATTGTGACAGCTGCTGGTTCTGCAGGATCGGCCTATGATTTCTACAGTCGTTATTTCGCTCCTAAGTTCGGAGTTGATGAGGTAAAAGAGTAGCTGAAACTTTACCATCATTAGAGTCTTTGCTCTTAGGATTGATCAAAAACACCAAAGAATATGATTTATTCTGCCTGAACTTTGTCGCCTTTTTCAGGACCCTGTTTGTGGAAGTGCACATTGTGCATTAGCACATTACTGGAGCCTCAAGATGAACAAGTGTGATTTCTTAGCCTACCAAGTAATCTCTCTAATCTCTTTAAATTTTTAAGTAGCGTTTAGTGCTTCCTAGTGAATGATTTTGAGTTTTTGGAAATCTCTTAGGCTTCACGTAGGAGTGGAACAATTAGGATTCATCTAGACAAGGAGAAGCAGAGGGTTCTCCTGAGAGGCAAATCCGTGACTGTGATGGAAGGCCATGTCTTGGTTTAATCTGAAATGATAGAATGTGTTGACTTCTGCTACAAAACAAGCTCCTTCCTATAATGGAATAACAATAAATTTACTATTTTCAAAACAAAATAGTGTCAGCTGACTGATCTCACCTTGCATGAGGTGTGGTCGCTCGTAGGAGCCACTGATAGAATATGTCTATGTTTACTGACCATGTGTGTTCATTTTGCATAAATTTCTTCCTTTTTTTTTGTGTGTGTGTGTGGCTACTGTCGTTGTTACAATTACTATCACTGTATTTCTCTTCTGGTCAATTAATTAGATCTTGTTTGATTTGATAGAACAAAAACACGTTCTTTAGGCCCCTATTGCTACTGCTACTGCTGCAGTGCTGCTTCTCCTGAAGGATATGCTAATGATTTCGTTAGTATAGGTGTCGATGAGATTAACAAAACTAGTCTGCATTTTCATCTTTTATGAACAGAAGCCATGAACCTCATCTTACCTTGATTGGATTTTTTGTTCATATATTTATGTATGTGGAAAGTATACAGTACATAGTAGATTTAATCATTTCATTGAGAACCTTGATAGAGAATCAGCAACAGAGGCTACATACCCATATGTATCCTTGCACTATTTCACAACTGACTATGGTTTGGGTCTTGGGAATTGGTTTTATCAAGGTTCTTAATAAAATGACGAAATATTATGATCATGTTCTTTACAAACTATGATAAACAAAGACGTTCACATGAAATGTGAACCTTAACAGTTTTGGTTGTGCTTAATTACCAACCTTGTAAATCTGTCAGATGTATTAGCTTGTGAATGTCGACCAATCTCACTTCTTTTTGTAAGTAGATCTTTGTGGTCATGCAACATTGTGCATTTGTCACATTACTGGATCATAAATTAGGAGTTGATGAGGTAAAAGTAGCTGCATTTTAACGGGAAAAACCAATGACTCATATGATCCAACAGTTCTCTTTCGCCACATCTTTGTCTTAGTCATACCACCAGTCAGAGGCAATTCATTTATTGTTGAAAGTTTTTGTCTTTTTGAGGCTACCTACCAAATCTTCCCATATCTATTTTTATTTTTTTTGATCTGGAGGATTCTTTCATTGTTAAATAGAACGTGGAACACATTGTTTCTAGATAAGAAAGGAAGAAGAGGAGCTCCTATGGCCATGCTCGTGAAGAAGCCTGTGAAGTATTTTATGGTAATTGTATCTTCTTCTCTGTCTTCTTTGTTTTTTGTTTCTGGTAATGCACTAGTGTAACTTCCGTCCTTTCTTCTTTGCCCTGACTAGTTCTTTTAGAAATGTTTCAGCTTCTCAAGATTGATAAATGTTGGCAAACAGGTTAATGCGTTCTCTGAGTCAGCCTTCAAGGGAAACCCAGCAGTTGTGTGTTTTCTCGATGGGAAGAATGAGAGAGATGACTCTTGGCTTCAGTCTCTTGCTGCTGAGTTCAACATTCCCTTGACCTGTTTTGTTATTCCAATCACTGCCTCCAATCCTCTCGACCCCCCACACTTCTTACTCCGGTGGTTCACCCCCATCCTAGAGGTTTTGTTTCGCTTTTTCCCCATTACAGTTTTAGCATTTGAGATGATAATAGTCCAAAAGCATTCACAAGATATCTCTTGGTTTATGTACCATTCCATAATGCTCACAGGTGGATCTCTGTGCTCATGCAACCTTAGCATCTGCTCACACTCTCTTCTCAAACGGTTTGGTTGGTTCAGACGAAATCGAGTTTGCCACGCACTCGGGGATTCTAACAGCCAAAAGGGTTTCAAAAACTCTCAAGTTCTATGACTATGAAGAGAAAGAATCTTTCTTGATCGAATTGGATTTCCCTGTGATACCAACATGTGAGTACAACTCCAGTGACATATCCATGTTTTCAAAGGCCTTAAATGGAGCTACCATTGTTGATGTCCAAGGAACAAAGAATGCTAAAATCATTTCCCAAGCTTTCAATGGAGCTGCCAAAGCAACTTCAACCGATAAAATCATCGTATGCATTTTCAACAAAACGTTATACCTAATGTTCATGCATGCTCTCATGAATGCTCCAATTAATTACAGGTTGTGCTTCCATCTTGGGAATCTGTTACTGAACTGCAGCCAAGAATGGATGATATCTCGAAATGCCCCGGAAAATTGATAATTGTTACAGCGGCCGCTCCTAAAGGATCAGTCTATGATTTCTGTAGTCGGGTCTTTGCCCCCAAATTAGGAGTAGATGAGGTTAAAAAAACTCTAGCCTGTATGCACTTTCATTTTCTTTGGGAAAATCCATGAACCAAAAGTCTTTTACTTTGTGCTTGGTTCTTTGTTCTTTCAGGATTCTGTTTGTGGAAGTGCACATTGTGCACTAGCACATTACTGGAGCCTCAAGATGAACAAGTGTGATTTCGTCGCTTACGCGGTGATTCCTCTTTCTTTGTAACTAACTAGCATTTTGAAGCTAAGAAAGCAAACTCATAGTTTACAGAATCAACAAAAAAATATCCCAGGCTTCGCGTAGGAGTGGAACATTGAAGGTTCATTATGATAAGGAGAAGCAGAGAGTCTTACTCACTGGCAAAGCTGTGACAGTGATGAAAGGCTCTATCTTAGTTTAATCTTTGAAATTCTTGGAAAAAATATGTCAACATTTTGATTCTCGAACGGTCGAACCCCTAAGTTTGGCAATAATGTAATCGAAGGCCATGTCTTGGTCTGATCTGATATATTGTTTAATGTTTTTCAAATTGTTGCTGGTGTCAGCTCACCTCCACTAGGATCCATGTGATAAGGTGTCTCTACGTTATTGTTTATTTTCCATGGATTTTCCTTTTTTGTGTGGTTACTAATACTATAGCTAAAGCCTTAAAGGGACAACCTCTATCTTAATTCTGACAATCTTTGGGACTTTCTTTTTTGGGTAAAACAATTAGTAGATCTTGCTTGATTTGTTATGTAGGTCTCGATTGTTTGTTTATGTTTGCATTTACATTTACATAACTTATTATAAAAAGCTGAAAGTGTTTTATAATTCAAAAATGTGAAAGAATTTTTTTTGAATTTTTTTTTATCATGTTAACACGTACGTAAATGCAAACGCAGAAATCGCTTTGGAAACAAACAATCAGAGGCCTTATTTCTCTAACTGTGTGTGCTTGCTGTATCCTGTATATAATGTGTGTCAAAGTTTAAAGAAGAAGATATCAAAAGAAACAAGAGGAGATATATGGCCATGATCTTGAAGAAGCATGTCAACTACTTTGTGGTAATTCTATCTCTTTCTTTTCTTGTGTTTTCTTTCTGATTAATCTGGTAATGTAACTTCCTTAATGCCCTTCTTCAGTTTGAACTTCACGTACTTCAAGTTTTCTTCTTTATTGGTTTTGGTTGAGAAATGTTTCAGACTTTAAGCTTCTCAAGATCAACCAACTTGTTAATAAACACAGGTTGATGCATTCACTGATTCAGCCTTTAAGGGTAACCCTGCAGTAGTGTGCTTTCTTGATGATTGAGAGTAAGAGAGATGACGTCTGGCTTCAGTCTCTCGCCACCGAATTCAACCTTCCTATGACTTGTTTTCTTATTACCATCACCGGCTCCAATCCCCCTCGCTTTATACTGCGGTGGTTCACCCGCTTTGTGGAGGTCCTGTTCCTGCATGATTCTCTCATTCATTTATGATTTCAATTCATTTGGATTACTGGTCACAGACTCTTTTTCTGCAGATGGATATTTGTGGTCACGCAACCTTAGCATCTGCTCATATTCTCTTCTCAAATGGTTTGGTTGGTTCTGCTGATACAGTTGAGTTTTCCACCCAGTCAGGGATTCTAACTGCCAAAAGGGTTCCATTGAATGACGATGAATCGAAAGAAGGGTCCTTCACGATCGAATTGAATTTACCTATGATCAGAACATGTGAGTACAACTCCAATGATGTCTTCATGTTCTCCAAAGCCTTAAACGGAGCTACCATTGTTGACGTCAGAGGAACTACAATAGCTAGCACCATCCATGAAGCCTTGAATGGAGTTGCCAAGGTGGCTTCAACCGACAAAATCATCGTATGCACTTCAAGAAACTTCAAAAACTATTACTTATATTTTTGTATGATACTCTCATATTGAAAACAGATTGACCTGAAAATGCTCTAATTTCTTTCCTCATCATATTACAGGTTGTGCTTCCATCTTGGGAAGCTGTCACTGAGTTTCAGCCAAGAATGGATGATATCTCGAAATGCCCCAGTAAAATGATAGTTGTTACTGCTGCTGCTCCTGAAGGATCTGCCTATGATTTCATTAGTCGGGTATTCGGCCCCAAAATAGGAGTCGATGAGGTTGAAAAACTAGTCTGCATTTTCATTTGAATGAATAGAAGACATGAACCTCATCATCTTACCTCTATATTGCTTCTCTTTTTATTCAGAGCCCTGTCTGTGGAAGTGCACATTGTGCATTAGCACATTACTGGAGTCTCAAGATGAACAAGTGTGACTTTTTTGCTTACGCGGTGATCTCTCTTTTCCCTATCTATCTGTAAGTTTCTAAGCAAAACAACAAAAGACATGTTACTGACTGTGATTTAAGTTTTGGGAAATTGGTTTTAGGCTTCACATAGGAGCCATGTTCTAAAAATCCCCGCCTAGCCCTGATTACTCTCCGCTTAATCGCTAGGCCCACCCTCTCCGCCTCGATTAATGACTAATCCCCTAAAAAATCAGTAACCCGATTATTCTCCGCCTAATCCGATTACTTCCCGCCTAATCTTACATACCCCGATTATTTTTAGATTGCAAGTATAAAAAAACATTTTATTTTTGTTATTCAATCATTTGAATTGGGAGTTTGTGATGTTTTACATAACTTGTGTTCAAATTTTAATAAAAATCATAAAAATTTGTTTTTACTGCAATTTTGAAAACAATATTTGATTAATATATTTTAAAAATATTAAAATAACCGTAAAACTAATCTCCGATTAATCCCCGATTTTAATCCGATTTTTCGATTAATCGCTAGGCCCATGCCGAGCGCCCGACTAGCGCCTAGCGATTTTTCAAACAAGGCATAGGAGTGGACAAATGAAGATTCATTTTGATAAGGAGAAGGAGAGAGTCCTGCTCAGTGGCAAAGCTGTTACTTTGATGAAAGGCTCTATCTTAGTTTGAATCAAGATTTCGACATCTGGAACCAAAACATTATCAAGTTCTCAATAAAATGATGAAATCGAATAAAATGATAATTCTTCTTTATAAATAAACTAAGACCTTCAAATGGAATGTACTCTAAGTTCAATTTGGATTTGTGAACTTATATGTAACGCTTATTGTTCAACAATCCTAATAAGTTGCTATTTCTTCTTGTTTTCCTTTGATTTTGTTTCCCCATACTAAGTATCATGCATAGTTCTGAGATATATTTTCAACTGTGGAGTAAGCTTGACGTTATTAGCTACGTCAAGCTTGAGTAATCAAGTTTTTAATCACACCAATGTTGTAAATTTGTCAGCTGTATTAACTATTAAGAGCTTCTGGAACTCTATGGTCATGGAACATTACTACTGGAACCTAAATTAGGAGTTGATGAGACAAAACCAATGACTCACATGATCCATGTCTTTGTCTTGACCACCTCTCACAGACAATCAATGGGTAGCAGACAGAGGAGAGAGGTATGGCTAAAATGGGAAGAAAAGTTTTTCCCAAAGTGTTACCTGTCCATTTCTAGGATCCTCCCATATTTATATATTATTGTTTGAGTGTCCTTTTTGGCTAACCAAAGGAACTTCCAAAACAACTTCAACAGACCAAATCATCGTATGCATTTCAGATTTTTTAGAAAAAAACCTTATCAACTTTCTATTTTTGGCTTGTTCTTATCTCATCTCATTACAGGTTGTGCTTTCATTTTGGGAATCTGTCATTGAATTGCAGCCAAGAGTGGGTGATATCATGAAATGCCTCGGCAAAGTGATGATTGTTACCGCTGCTGCTCCTCAAGGATCTCCGTTTGATTTCTGCAGTCGACTCTTTGCTCCTAAACTAGGGCTCAGTGAGGTTAAGAAACTAACCTGCAATTTCATAGGAGCAACTCTTCTCTTCTTACTTGTCGTAGCCACCAACAAAACATCAAAAGTCTTTACCTTTAACTCTACCTCATTTGATTGGTGCTTTTGTTCCTTCAAGACTCTGTAAGTGGAAGTGCACATTGTTTAGCACATTACTCGAGCCTCAAGATGAACAAGTGTGATTTCGTTGCCTATGCGGTGATTCCTCTTTCTCTGTAACTAACTAACATTTTGAAGCAAAGAAGAAACACACATTTTACTGAATCAACAAATTTGTTTTCAGGCTTCACAAAGGAGTGGAACACTTAAGGTTCATTATGACAAGGAGAAGCAGAGAGTCTCGCTCGCCCGGAAAGTTGTGACCGTCATGAAAGGCTCCATATTAGTTTAGTCTTTGACATTTTCTCAAAATTCTTGCAGAAAAAGGTCAAAGATTTTGCTTTCTCGAATTCCCCAAGTTTTTTCAGATTCTATGTAATAAAGTGATGAAGTCAATAATAAAACGATATTGAGAGCTGGGCGTTTGGCAATAACGTATCAAATCTCAAAATCATGAAAACTTAAGAGATAACAAGAATTTGTCTTAATGACACCAAATCTCACTACAAGATAGATCTTTTACAATCCTGCTGTTACAAAACAAAAAGGACCAAACTTTTGATCACTGCAAAATGCTTAACGACCACCACGGCCGCCACGTCCACGACCTCTTCCACGGCCACGTCCACGACCTGGCGGAAGCTTACCTGATACCAAAGAGAACAATAAAAAGATGAGTCTAAACAAAAACAAAACAAAAAAAACAAAGGCAGAGTTTAGAGAAGGACATGTTTTGTTACCTGCAGTTGGCTTTTTGGGTTTGATTCTTGGAGTGTCTTCAACCAGCAAAGTCTCGAGATTCAAACTGTCTGGAAGAATATAATAGCGAATGTTGTTTCCCCTCACACTCAAGTGGTCTAATGTAACTGGATTCTTCCCTTTCAGAGTGAGTTTCACAGCTTTTAAATGAGTGTTCATACTAACATCTACACCTGCATTAAGTCATCACAAATAGATCATACCAGTCAATGAGTTATATGATAATTGCATTCTACACAAGATGATGGCAGAAACAGGAAACAAAACCAAACATTAACAGCAGAGACCACTTGTATTGGATAAGGTAATCAATTAGTTGATGAGACTAAAAGAGAAGCTGAAACAAGAAGCCACACGGTAACTGTTCTGTCAAAATTCAGAGATTTTCTTTAAGAGGAAAGAGATAAGAGGGACTTTCAAGTGCTAAATCTAATCATCTGCATCTGACTCGACCAGTATCACTGAGTTCTTGCAAACAAGAGGGTTAACACCAACAAAGCATTTCTAGGTCAAAAATTAAGACTCGCCTAAACTCGAAATTCTTCAGATATTACCACTAATAACAGAATTACGCCTCATAATTTGTGAACAAGAGAGGTCCATAGTGATAAAGGGAGATACTAAACAAAGTGATCAAGTTTGAAAACAAAAACTAAAGTATGTCATAAATAATCATGTGCTAAACTCACTCGCATGGGCTTCGATACATGTTTGTTCTGAGATAGTATTGCTTATGGGGTGAGCATAGTTTCAGAAGAACTTAAGCATTCTCATACACCCAAACTATAAAGCAAAATCAAATGTATCATCTGCATCTGACTAGACCATTATCATTCACTTCTTGCAAACAAGAGAGTCAACACCCACAATGCATTTGTAGGTCAAAAATAAAGACTCAGCTCAACTCAAATTCGTTAGGCATTATCGTTATTAACTGAACTACACATCAGAATTTGTAAATTCGAGAGCTCCATTGGTTACAACAATCAAAGGAGAAACTAAACTATCTAATGGGTGACCAAAGTTTGAAGAAGAACTAAGCAATCTCATAAACCTCGATTCAAGTAAAATCTAGTGTATTCATCTGCATCTGACTCGACCAGTGTCACTAGGGTTAACACCAACAAAGCATTACTAGGGAAAATACTCTAGCTAAACTCAAATTAAACCTCAGAATTAGTGAATAAGCGAGCTTCCATCGTTTACAGGTCTATGCAACAAGAAGCATCGTAGATTTTAAACAAAACCCTAAACACCGAATAGAGCTGGGTTTTAAGAGAAGCATACCTGTAATGGTTCCATGAACAATGGTTCCGTTCTTAAGCTCAATTGAAACTGTTTCGTTGTTCAATTTCATCAAAAACCTGCGAAAAATCCCGATACCAAATCAAACAGCGAAGAGCATGAAAACAAAGAAAAATCTCAAAATTTCGAAGCAAATTCCATTAAAACGAAGAAAGAGAGAGAATCCGAGTAGAAATCATACCTAACGAGCTTCATGGTGAGAGAAGAAAAAATTAGGGCTTTGAGGAGAGCTCGATACAGCAATGGCAAGAAGCAAGAGCGGGAGGAGAAGACAAAAAGAAAAATTGGGGATTTTATGTTTTAACAAAAAGTTGAAGACTCTTGTTTTTAACCGACGCTCTCTTATTTCTTCGAATGTTTGATTACACCCCTATTATTTTATATTTACAGAAACACCCTTCTCAACTTTTTTAATGAATTTTCTTTTGACATTATGCGGTGTACGATGATATCAGATTCTTTTGCTTAAGGTAATGTTACATAATGGACTATTCTTCATTCGGCCTTCTAGCCCAATAGTAACGTTGGTGTTTGAATCCATTAATAATTAGAATCGATCCAATTTCCCTGAATCCATTAATAATTGGAATCGATCCAATTTCCCTAAATCCATTAATTATTGTGACAACTAAATTATGCAAATTGAAAACTGAAAATAGGGATATTACATTATGAATATACAGAGTTTCTCAAAGGGGTTGATCTTATTTGGATTTTATTACTAATCCAATGGTAACGAAGCATACAACACAAAGTAATCTTTCATTTCATTTTATTTGATTCTACTTTTCCACATTTAATGAGTTAAGTTGGCCAATGGCACCACAGTCGGGTCGGGTCATCAATATATCCATTCCTCGGGGAGAAGTTTCTCCGGCGAATCAATCAGATTTTCTACTTCAATGTTCATAGGTGTTGCCAACATTTCGGTCTTCTTCTTCGAATCGTTTTCTCGAATTTCTACATTCAATACAAAACAAAAAAATGTTACAATTTCAACCTACTTTGTAATATATAACGTGATGCATTTAAATAGTCGTTGAAAAAAATGGTTAGAAAAAAACCTGGACGGGGAGAAATATGGATACCGTTGTTGTGAATGTTGAGATTGAGTGCTTGAACTACACGCGTCGGGAGAAGCACCGGCGAGCAAGCTATGACAAGAGAATTTTGTTTTCATTAATCAAAACTTTATATACATAAAACGCCAACAAACACACAATTTCTTTTATGTCAATTAAAATGGTAATGGATGTATAGGCCCAAAATCTCGTCGTTATAAAAAAAAATTGCATTTCTTATAGGTTTTAAGAAAAAAAACACATGAAGGACAAAATGTAAGTTAAAAGTGTTGTCAATCTTCATATCGTAATTTAAACATGAAACTAAAAGAATTTTAGTATATGCATTTGGTAGAATTGATTTATGTAATTGAAAACATTATGCACCCTTATTTGTTCATACATAATAACTAGTAAAGAGTAATTAATAAATAACCTGGTTTTTTGGTGGGCGGATGAGAGGCGGTGGCCGGAAGAAAAACTCCGGTGCCAGAAGTTGTACGGCCTGGCGACACCAAGAAAAATGCTTGCATACGGTCCTCTCCTTTACTCCTTTGCCAATTGCTTTGGTGCTTTTGTCTTGTATTATAGTTCTTCAACACACAAAAATATACATACAAACTTTTGAGTTTTGGAAATATGTAAGATATGTTTAAATATATAATTAAATAAGGAATACATCTGTAACAATGTCCATAATGACATTTCCTCCAATACTGTTAAGGGATTGAAAAGAAAAAATAAACCTTAAAAAATGATTGAAAATATATATATACCAATGGAAACGTTTGTCTGAGAGGAGGTGCACCGGGCCGACGGAATTCACCGCTGCCATGGTGGTTGTGGTTCTTGACATATTTCTGCAACCGTGTGAGAATATAATTAACAATGATTTCGCTAGAAAATACGAGAAAATTTTACTAACAAAATCAAATCGAAAAACTTAGATATAAGATGATATAAACCTGATGTTTGTTGGAATGATCAAACAATGGATCTTGAAGAACATGAGAGGGTGACCATATTTGCCTATCCTTGTGACCGATGATGTCACCCATTTGAAACTGACCAAAATGGAAATTGAATTTCGATACTTCAAAATTTCAAAAATATTAAACACTTTGAATCAATCTTAGAAGAAGAAAAACATTGAGAGAGAGAATCAATGGAAAGGTTTTCTTTGTTGACAAAGAAAAAAGAAAGAAGAGAAGAGGTATTGATTTCCCCCAACTTCTGACCTGAATCTTAACTATAAATATTACTCACGATGGGTTTGGAAAGTAGAGGGAGAGATGATGACGACGAATTGTTTGGAATGCTAATTATTATTCTTTATAAGATAAAATTTAATGCCGCCATTCAACTTTTTTTTTTAATTTATAGAAAATTAATTATTATGTTGACAACAAAAGAAGAGTTTCAATGATTTTATTATTTGAATTTGGTTTCATCATTACTACAAGAATGAAACGAGAGTTACACACTTTTTCATTTCAAATTTTCAAAACAAAACAAAATAATCATATCATTTTCTACTTTGGAAAGTGTTTTTTTTTTTACCAATATTCACATAAACCGTGTGGTAACCGTGAGGTAACGCCAACATTAATGAAAACTACTAGAATACAAATATTTTTTCCATATAAAAATTTTACTATGGAAAGCTCTTTTTTTACAATTATTCACATAAACCGTGTAGTAACCGTAAGCCGCAAGGTAACGCCAATATTAATGGAAGCTATTAGACGACCAAAATTTTCTAGATAAATTTTTACCATGGAAAATTTTTTATTGTTATCTATGACTCACGCATTTTATACAACCGCGTAAAATCCACATGCTAATTTGAAATTATTTGATTGATATTTCATCTCAAAATATTTTTAAACTGAGAAATCCTACATCAAAGTCCATGCTAATCTCTAGATATTTACTTCCAAATGAATTAGAATTATTTTATATTTTTTATTATATTATTAAATTATATATAGTTTCTAAGAAAGATTAAGGAGGTCATGTCGGGAAGTGGGTTGAGTTGTATTAAGTAAACGCCTTCCTCGAATTTTGAATGACATTTTTTATGTTTAGTGCTTTATTTCAAATTGTTCCTTAAAAGGACTATAACTTTGACCTAAACTACAAACTAATATTCTTATCAATTAGTTGTGATTTTTTTTGGCTACACATCTATTCTATCGAGAATACGTAAAAGTATAGTATCAAATAAAACAAATATGTTTTATCATTTTTTGTTGTGATTTTGGCTATACATATTTAAATGCGAATTTTGTTTCACATTACTTGTTATTGTTCATCTTATCTTCATATTTCTTTTCTATATACCCAATTACTTTAATTTGGGTGTAAACCTACCTTAAGACGATTAAATCCAACTTTGGGTATATAAACTTCTATTTTAAAGCTCTAGCTAACTATGATATAAAAATGGGAAGAAGCAAAAGTAACATTTTTTAAATTATAGTCGTCTACTATCCCATAATCCATATCTCTCTATTTTTATTTATATTGAAAAATAAGGAAAATCAAACGACCAACGACGCCACTTCTTCTTAACAACCTTCACCAACCAACCCAAGTTCGTCGAACTTCTCTTAAGATGATTTTATTAGTTGATGATCTTTACCTCAAGTGGGGCTCTATATCAAGATTAATCGTGAGACTTCATGACTAATCGATTCGAGGAGATAAATTTAGTAATTAATAATTAGTATGGGCGGCTAGCTCTAGCCTGCCAATTATAGTTTTACAATTAACCATCTACTTCAATTAAAATAAATCAGAGGAATAAGATTCGAACACATCCAAGGCTAAGGACTAAGGTTTTATGGATACCCAAATCTAGTTTACCTACCAGCTTTAAAAATGCTATAATAATTGGTGAATAGTAAAATCAAAACTTACAATTTTGTTTTAGGAAAAAAATATTAAGCTGGATATGGGTTTATAGTTAAAATAGTTGACTAAGTGTTTTGAGGTGAACAAATCCACTTTGGACACAAGTCTTTGAAAGCTTACATAAGCTTACACAAGTCATAACTACCCAACAATAAGAGTCGAAGTAGGTTTTTCAGTTAGTCAACCTCTCAAAGATCATTTGACATCATCACATATAGAGAACCAAATATATAAAATTGGCACAGTGTAAAAGAGTTTTTAATCATATTAAATTCTGAAAAGAAAAAAAACAGGAAAAAACCATAGTGAATAGTGATCTTCGCAGCAACTTCATTCCTCTGCAGCTTTGGACACTCTACTCAAGCTCTAATTGTCAGAGCAAGTCGAATGTTACTGCTTCAAGACAAGTATCTCGATTGGTACAGACTTTCAGAGAACGGTGTTCTTCAAACTCACTGGTTATCCTCTCTCAATATTGCAAACAAAAAGCTTCATGGATTCACTCCAATATGTTTTCTGTATTCCTCGTTTGTGAAAGTTGCAGTCCAAAACTAACCCTGCAGCTTTCAGGCTAAGAAATGGTGGACGAGATTTCAGTCACACGCATTCGACTGGTTAGTCTTATAAGCTCCTTAGTCTCTTCATCTAACTCTACATTATCCTTTGCCATTCGCTCTTCAACTATGAGTGCCATTTCCCCGGCTTTAGCGTAAGTACGTAATAAGGAATTGTAGAGCTGAGTGTTCACATGACCAGCCTTTTGGAGTAGAGTCATTAGCTTCTCTGCTCCTTTAACATTCCCTTGTTCCTCGAGTTCCTTGGTCACTGCTTTAACCAATCTTACATTCACAGTCCATTTCTTCACAGAATCAATGGCTTTCTCAAAACAATCTAAAACTTTCTCCATGTCTTTACGCTTCAAATAAGCCCAAGTGAGAATTTCCCATGTAGAATAGCTCGGGTTTATCCCTTTCTCCACAATTCGTTCGTAAAACTTCTCTCCTAGAAGAATCTCGTCTCTGTTCATGTACTCGGCCAGAATTAAATTTGGGATTCTAGCATCTCCTGTTCCAGAAACAGATTCCCATTCGTCGTACAAACCTTTGGCTTGTTCGAATTCACCGAGCTTCACCGCTGCAGATATCATGCTAAGGTATTCCGCATCATTCATTTTCTTGAAAGACGACTTAACCTTCTTCCAAGTTAAGTTGACTCCATCTTTGTCACCCAAGTTTGCGTGCAGACTTATGAGAGAAGCATAAGCAACCCGGTTTTTCTTAGAAACTAATTTCTCCATCTCCTTCAAAGCAAGTTTCGCCTTTTCGAGATTATCAGTCTTAGCATACAAATTCGTTAGCACGCTATAAGTCACCCAGTCCGGATTCAGCTTCGCTTCCTGCGCCTTAAGATAAACTTTTTCCGCACCTTCAACATCGTTTCCAGAAGCAAACGCAGTCAGCCATAGATTATAAGTAACAATATCAGGCGATGTTTTCATCTTCAATTCCTTAATCAACACCGGGACTTTCTCAAACTGCCCTTTCGATATATACATCGATAACATATGATTGTAAGGCAAACAAGACTTCAAGAAACCACATTCACCCATTTTCTCAAACAAAGCCTCAGCTTTATCAGACAACTTGTTCTGCACATAACTATGTAGAAGAGATGTACAAGCAGCATGACCTCGCATTTGATCCGGCATATCTTCGAAAAACTTCTCCGCACTGTTTAAACCACGGATTTTAGAAATCAAATCCAAATGCACAGCATAATCACCAGCTTGCAACTTTATATCTTCCTGTAGAACCATCCATTCACATATCTGCACATAAATCACTAACAACAATTTACCACAATGAACAAATAACTCAAATCGCAGAGATTCAAACAAAATCATAACAAACATATCAAATCGAATTCAAATTGAGAGAAAATCACGAACCTCAAGAGCGTGTTTATAGCGTTTGATCTTACGAAGCTCTCTAACGATTCGATTAAGTTCGTATTTACGAACGGAATGGCCTTCTTCTTTCCATTTCCGGATAGTAACAACGGCGCTGCGTTTAGTATACACAAGGCTTAATAATCTTCCTCCTAGAGTGTCTCTTCCTCCAACTACCGTTTCTTTTCTATTGGTCGCTCCTCCTCCTCCTCCGCTGCGAGGTTTCACCACGGCTGCCGTCGCCGTGTCCACCGTCGCGGCGGCGGCGGAGAAAAGGCGGCAAAGGGAGGCTAGGGTTGGCCGAGCAGAGCGAAGCAACATGTTTTTATTCATTTTAGTTAGTTACTGAGCTCTGTGCTGTTGAGTATTTGCTAAGTTTGGGTTTGAAGCTAATTTTTGTTGGGCCTAGTCTCGGCCCAATGTTAAACCAACAAAACAGCACAAAAAAATAAAGAGAGTTTGAATTAAGAATTGAGATGTTTCTTTAGCCACATATTAAAGAGAGTTAAAATTCTCCTAAAACATATGTATATGAAAAATTCATTTTTTTTTTCTTTTTCGTCATGAAAAAAATCATTTTATATATATACAAAAAGGAAAAAACAAAAAAAAGTCGAATCATTGATATACCAAAAAGGATGGGTACATGATGAGATTTACTTTAGATTTCGGTCAATTATAAGCGGAGTCAAGTGGCATATCATATAATAGAGATTCTTTTTCCTCTATTCGTTTGCAGAGAACAAAGTTTGCTCTTCAGATCTTTGTAAGATTGGACAATACATCGTAATGTTGTCTATTTCTCATTGGCTCAATCATATACTTGCAATCTATTTTGATATCATTTCAAGATTTATGTAGTACGAATTTGGTCGAGACAGTGGGAAAGAATATCAAGAGAGGTCGTGTACAAAGGACCTACTAATTATATGTTCTTATTCATTTACGTCCGTACGAGAAAGTGTCTATAAATATGCACACGTGACGACGTGACGTCAAAGAGTTTGGTCTACAATAATAGGGATGTAAAAGTTATTCACTCATAAACGACATTAACATTTACTTTCTTTTCCTTAAAATTGTAGGGTCTTGTAGTTATATAAAATACTTAAAATATGATTGATCTGTTGAATGTTGATGGTCGATAATGAAAGTATTGGTCGAATGTTGTGTCGGGCTGGATCAATCGAATGTTTTCATCGAATGTTTTTCAATTACTTGATCCTTTTGTTAAGATATTCATCTTATGCACGAACTTTCAACACCAAAATTTGATAATCGCGGTAGTATTGTATCCCTTTGTGCTACTACATGATGGCAATAACATTGACATTGGCTGTGCTTAGAAGGCCAAGATGCATGTGTTGCAATTTGCAAACTAGCATAGATAATGTTACTAAAAAAGTGATATAGTTTTCCTCAGTTTATGACTGCTACTTTATTATCCTTATTCATTTTAGGTAGTTTACTTTCGTTGGACTATGAAAACAAACCTAAGTCGATTCATAACATGTATATTCCCTGTTTTTATATATAATAAAATCGTATGAAGTTCAACGAATTAGTCATGTATTTTTGGCATATAACAAGATTCACTATGGATTATGTATGTATTGATGTGTATGAATCCGCATCTTTCGCAAAGTTTGGACTAGATATATATAAATAATCAAAGGTTACTTAACTTATAAGACTTGAAGAGTAGCCTATGTTTAATTAAGTAATAATTAACTCACGTTTTAGCATTTATTTTTGTAGAATTAGAAGCCGTAATAATACAAAGGGACTAAGAAAAACACATCTCTTCCATAAATCAATCATACTTTTTAAAAATCAAATAAGCCATATTACTAATTATTGTCGTCATAAAAATAAATTTATTTGCTGAGTTGAGTTTTCCATTAAGTGGTCACCCAAAATTGTTGCTCCTTCCAGTTAAGCATGGTTTTAGGCTCATATCCATTTTCATTGCATCTCCTTTTTGGTCTTCTGCTAAACTTTTTATTTCCAATTTTACCCTCAAAGTTCTCGTTATTCCCCACAATGCCCTCCTCTTCTTCCTCTGAATCGTCTTCTTCTTCTTTATCTTCATGACCTTCGAATCCGGATTCATTTTCTTGGAACTCTTCTTCTCCGTCTTGAATATTCAAAGAATTCTCTGATAAACAGAGACGAAGCCTTCCTTCACGACGTTCAGATACAAAGCAACGAGGTGGTGAACAAACCCTAATTGCTTGCACAACAAGACGACCATCTTCTTTATACGATTTCACCATACGGCTATTGTTGAATCCGTTGACGGATTTTAACGGCGGAGGAAAACTGTTTTCACGAGTCATAAGGTTAGTTTCTTTTTGAGGTTTCGTAGTAAGAGGACTCATTGAAATATTGGTTGCTTCAAGCGCAAGTAACGACATCTCGTCTCCACTATCACTCCCATTCTCGGTCCCGAGGCTCTCTGTGCACATCTCAAGGCTCAGTTTAGCTACGGAACGCTTCTCGATCGGGTGGACATAAGCTGTTTTCTTTGTGTCGTCTTCTCTGTTTTGGACAATGCCTTTTGGTTCAGAGAAATATTGCAAGAAACTCCATCCACCCGCGTCAAGATTTTGGCTTACTTGCTTCGTGGGAAGATGTGTGTAAACTTGGCCAACAACTATGGACATGTTTGTGTTATGTTAAGAGAGCAAAAGAAAGCAAACACAGAGTGAAAAAGAGAAGAAGAGAGAGGATGAGAATGGGTGATGAAGATGATGTGGTAGTAGAAGGGATGAGTATGTATTTATAATGCGGTTCTACTTTAGATTGGGGATTTATTTTATGATTTCCAAATAGTTTCATGAACATTTATTTATTTAATGTAATATTAATTGGATTGGTAAGAATTAATAACAAAATGGTGACTTCACTACCACTTCTAAAAAGTCAATTACATTAAGAGAATTGTTTTTACAAATTACTACTTAATCATCATTAATATTAATCTTTTCGTTAATCTGTGAGTTTAATTATAAAGTAATTATAAATATTATATATCACCTTTTTATTTTTTAACATCAAATAGTATATCACTTCATTCATTTTGAAACTAAATTCACTTTTTCGTTTTGTTTATTTTGTTATTGTGATTCTATATTTACTTTGTGGTGAAGTGTTTGTTATCAGTTCTTGATAGTTTCTCTATGTTTTCAAAATTTAAACTATAAAAAAGGAATACACTGTTTTATATCCGACTTGTTCTCGTGCCGTTAAAATAAAATATTTAAATATTTGTTATTACAATGGGTCGGATATAAAAATATCAAAATTTTGTCAACTGAAAACCCATTAATTGGTTTAAGAAAACAATATTAAACGAAAAAAGCTTTCATTAGTTCAACGAAAGCTTATAAATTATAATACTGGGTAAAGACAAAAAGGAAAGTTTAAAAAAAAGAAAAAAAAAAGGAAAGGTATCATTAGGAATTTAAATAGATTACTTTTGGTAGCCGGAAAACGAATATCAGCAACCGTGGTCTGAAAACTATTTCCAGTTTTCTTAACATTTGTTTATTCCAACTATCCTATTTATTTCGGTCCAATCAAGTCTCCAATAAATAAAACATAAACTTCCAGATACTATAATTTATGTCTGAGTGACTGAACACTGACCCACGTACACACACTAAAATGTATTTTATCAAAAGTATTTGGTTTTTTTTTTTTTGTCGTCTAAGTTTATTACCCAAAATAGAATACCAGTTGAAATACAAACGCCGGCGGACTAACGAAATGTCCCCAGAAACTTAGCCCAAAAGAGGGAAGCAAAGCCCCAACAGAACGGGGAAACTATTTAGACCATCAACAAAAAGACAATATATCTAAAGAAGATCATCCGTTAAGGAAACAAGAAGACCTAAACACTAAAATTGTGCTTAAGGCATTTGTCAAGAAACCTAGATGCGTATAAAGGTTTACTTGACTTGATATTAGAACATGAGGTTGGTTCAAGTAGAGTGGTTTTAAAACGAAATTTGATTTGAAATTGGTCAGAAAAATCATTACCTTAGCAAAAACGTTTTATAAATCTCATATCAAAAACTAGGTGAGAACTATAGTAACATAATATAGACTAATTATCAATTGATTGTATTTTGAATTCAAATTGAAATTTATAAAGCATATAATAGACCGTAATTTATGTTCAGCACAAAATGGTGTCATATTGAAGAGGTTCACCAACCTAGTGCTTATCATTAAAAGAAAGCACTTCAGCTTCTTCTTTATTTAGTTAAACTTTATTAAAGTTGTGGTTAATATGTCTTGAACTAGAATTGATAGGTTATATTTTGTCCACGATCTCTATGTGTATACAAGAACAAGATATATATATAATCCAAATGCTGTACAAATTATATGAAAAATAACCTCTTAACAGATAAAAAAGTGGCAGTCATCGATATGCTAAATAAATAGTTGAATAATAGAATAATAGAATAGAATGTATTTTTGGAAAAAAAACACTAAAACAAGAAGAAGTTTTCAAGTAGTCCAGTGGTTTTACTCTCATAGTCATGGACAAAAGCATTTTCTTGTTGTCTATAATTAGAATAACTTTCTATTTAAGGGAAATAAACAACAACCAACCAATAATATTCTCGGTTGATGCCAAATTATAAATATAATAGTTCATGCATCGACGTCTTCAAAGTTTAACATTGGACGAGATTTGTTTTTAGTTCTATTTAAACCATAATAAGAAATTGGTTTTCCTTTTTAAAAAGTTACAATTTTTTTTTGAGTATGGGTGTATTTAACATGTTAAAAATTGTTTTGCATGAGATCATTAATCACAATCATAACTAGTAATGTAGAAATACGCTCATTTATCAGAATTAAGTTTTTTTTTCTCCCCATTAATTTTTTTTTGTTATGGTTATTTAAAGCAAATCTATATTTTGAGTTTTTCATACATTAATTTAATTTTCTGTATCCTAAATAGCTTACATACATATTTATTTCGTTATATATTTTGAATAAAATATGCAGTTTCTTTGAATACGTTAATAAAGATGTTGTAACTAGTTTGGACCTCGAAACAATTTCAACAATGTACTAAAAAGTTACCAACCAACGAAGTTACAAGATATGGTTCTTTCTTAAATTTGTTTTTTAAATTCGTATATTTGTAAGGTTGTTCCACAAAAACACATGGGAAAACCTTAGAATGTGATTGGTGTAAGAATCTACTAATATAAGTCAATATACCAATAGATCGACACATTACAATTTGCAAATTCTACTGCAAGGACACGAATAGTGAACATAGAAGATCGCGTATATGTTATTCTTGATTGGATATGAATGCCAAACCGATTACTATCGCTAATAATCCTCGAAAATTCAGAGCTTTTGTTTCAAACAGTGAGAAGTGTTGAGTCATGCAAGAATCACACAAACTTTTTAAAAAAAAAAAAAATGTACAATCAATTCAAAAAACTGTGTTTACAATATTTACAACTTTGAACCAAAATAGGGTTTGAAAAGATTGAAAGAATCTAAGTAGTAACTCAAGCTAGCAAGAAATCATCTCGTTGCTAGCCGAATTCGGAACCCCTCCCTTTGTTTGATAGAGCCGTGTTGATTGATGGTGCATAGACGATTACGCACTACTCGGTCAATAGACTTAATAAGATGGTCTGGGTTGTGTGGAAGCTCATCATGCCTTCTACCATTGCGTTCTCCCCAGATGGAATGGTACTTGTAGCCTGAAACAAGAATCACACAAACTTAACCATGTATAATATCTATGCAAGACTTGAACAACGAGTCCAAACCATTTAAACTTCAACACGGGTTTGCAACATCAAATGTGTGAGATGAGTAGTATAAGTAGTTTAACTATGTGTGAGATAATTAGTCGGAACACATTCTAAATTTGAGATAAGCAGTGTGCTGATCTACTCTATAGCATTTCGGTGCATTTCTACCAGGGCTAACCGGATCAGTCGAGTTTTATTAAAAAAAAAAAAATTGTGTACTCACATGTATGATGAAAGATAAAACACATGAATGCTCTCTAATGGCAACTAATGTGTGACATCTAATGAAGGAAATATGTTATTTCTTTATGTGCACTAATGGATACCGAATCAACGCTTCCTCCATAGTTATGAGTCATTTGACATTTGATACATATTAGCATTGATGTCGACGTAATTATTTGGATTAATTTAAAAATAATGGCAAAAGAAGTTTCCAGTTTAAGTGAAGAAAAGTTTTCAAAGACTAGATGTTACACAAACAACGGTTTTGGTATTAATTAATGGTTTTAAAAGCTGAAGTAAACTATGTTAATGGATAGTAGATATGCTAAGTAAGTAGAAAGCTAAGAAGAATATGTACCATTCTCTCTTTCCCTCCAATGAGCCATAAGCCATTCAAATGTGGCATTCGCCAATCTCTACTTTTTCGATCTTTTTGCTTCGATTGGTGTTTTATAGATTGTCCAAACCAATCAGAGGAAGCAGAAGAAAGAAAGAAAACATGATTCTTTTGCATCATCAACATTCCACTGCTGACCTGAATTTATAATGTAAGGAGAAATCAAAAGTTAAGGTCCTTCAAAAACATTTGTGTTATTTTGTTAAGTCTTTATTCAACTTTATAATCTTTTAGTAGCAACAAAGTAAGGTGGAATCTCTTTCATGTTTACACAAAAATGTCAACTGGGAATATTCTTTTCTCTAACTTTTGACTATACTCATCCCTTTGTTTATGACAACATCAAATAAAAGGTTGGGTTATTAAGGAGACATGTCATTAGCTGAAAGTTGTGAATTCAATTAGAAAAACTAACTACGTACGTTTACACTATTAATCTAATGGTAAGCACTAGGCAGACTTTATTCTGCAAATTCTGGATAAGGAAGAACTAAATTTTCACACAAAAAAAAAAGGAAGAAAAAGTTATTTTAGAAGCTTAAGGAAACCGATCAAGTGCTGAGAATTATATATTCCTCATGGTAACCTATGAATGTGTTTTATTTTATTTTTCTCTAAGTCAAAAAGATTGGTAAATTTAATTTTAAACTGGAAAACTGCCTAATATTATTGAAATTGTTCTTTACTTTTTCTAACAAAACACAGCTTTCATTTTGATCTAAGAAAAAAACTTACTGATCTAATTAAACATGAAATAACCTGATTTTTGTTGCATATCGTCTAAAGCTAGCTAGCTCCCATTAGTGATCTCAAAAAATATTCTGTTAGAACCAAACTAAATTTTGTAGTTGCCTTTCTTAAATCAGTAGAAACCTTAAAATCAAAAGAGATGTACCATTTATATACTAAGAATTTACAATATAAGAATTTACAATATTGTACTAAGAATTTACGAGAAATTTGAAATCAACTCATAAGTCATACCTTATTTTAGCAGTTGGAAATCTTCTTGAACTTACTAATATTCACACTTTTCTGGAATTGCAAAAGCTTGTTATATATAACATGGAATTAGTCAAAGTAACACAATTACATGTAATGTGATGAGGTACATGTACAAATCATAGAAAATGATTAGTTCTCCTAATCAATTAATATAGGATGCTTCAATCCAAATAAATCAAAATGAACAGAACTGAAAAACTTATGATATAAAGTCGAACAAAAAATGTTGAAACCGTATGTGTAGACTGAATCATAGTATATTTGATTATTGGCTGATCTTAAAACATGTAATCAAAAACAGCAGGATGCTTTTGTCTGGCCCTTCCAGGTAGTCAATATACCCAATTTGCATTAGACCCAATTTGCAAGAACAGTAGTCATTAACCAGCATTAGACCCAATTTGCAAGATCATAAGCATATAGTTTGTATATTCGATTTGTTTATTGTCTAACGTACTATGTGACCAAATTATTACAACAAACAGTGGGATGTTACAACTTTATATCTTAGAGACCAAGAAACTACTCGAAACAAAAACACAAAATCTAAATCAATTATGAAAATACTAGGGTTGTTTTTTACGAAACACACAAAATCTTAACAATGACTTGATCAATATTGTTCTTCTTCTGCTGCTTTTTCAAAGCTTTCGTTGAGGGCTTTGGAGACATCTCCAGCTCTAGTTTCATCCTCTTCTTCTTCATCATCATCGTATTGAGGCACAGGGGATGAAAAATCTAAGCATAAACCTTGAACAACTTGTTCATATGAAGGAGATAGATCTTGAGATGTGATCTGATGGTACTCAACCATCTGGTGAAGACACTGATTTTCTCTTACTAAATTTGCGTTCTCATTCGCTAATCTAGCTTTCTCCGTAAGCAACACCTCCAATTGTAGCCTCACCTGTTGCATACAATCAAAATCAAAATCAGTAAACAGAGCAAAACAGAGCAGAAACAGAACAGATTTTGGAGATTGTACATACCAAATCATCTTCTTCAGGTCTAACACCTTTCACAAACCCATCTCTGAGTCTCTTGTTCTCTTCTTCAAGTAATCCACAACGTTCTTGGATGAAACTCAGGTCGGATTTTATGGATTTAAGCTCTCTTGCAAGCGAATTCGCTTTCGCTGCCATGGATATCGCAATCTACAAGAGAAAAGATTGAATCTTTATTAACAACATCAACGAAGAAAGTACCAAAGAGAGTGTAAACTAAAGAGTAAGACTTTACGTTCTTAGCCTTGTTCATGATTTTCCTCTCTTTTGGTCTCTTCTCTTCCTCATTCGAAGAATCTTCTATTTGTTCAACATCAGATTCGTGTTTCCTCTTCGTCCCTTTACTCTCCTCTTCTTCTTCCTCTTCTTCTTTCTGTTGTCGCTGTATCTGCTCAGCTTTAAGATTCGAGTGGAGTATCTCAGATAATGAAGGTGGTTTAGCTAATTCTCTAACTCCCTGATTGAACAAAAACACTTTTGTATCATTATCAATCTTGGAGAATGAACAAACTTAATTTTGCAGATCAGATTTTGAATGGTTTCTAGAATTACCTGAAGGGCATTGTCGAGATTACTAGAAAGCTGAGACAGAGTATGAGAAACCGAATCAAACCCTTTAAGCAAAAGCATCGAATCATTCTTAAATCTCTTTGATCTCTCTGTTTCTCCAGCAATCGTATTGGCGATAATGGGTTTGTGATATTTGCTATTTTCTTCGAGAAGAACATCAACCCTGTTACGTAGATTGCTCCAGAGACGCTTGTCTGAAGATGGACTAATAATCGATGGAGAAGAATCAAAAGAAGTTGCAGAAACCATGTTCAAGCTTGTTCCTTCCTGTTAAAACCAGAAATCGTTTCATGAAATTTTCAATTTTGAATCAAACCCATCTTGATCGGATAATCAAAGTAGAAGAAGAAGAAGAACTTACGTAGTTAGTATGATTAGGTGATGGAGTTTCAACAGAAGCAGCCATTGATGGAGGTAAAGAAAGAGAGATATGTAACGGCTAGTTTATTGAATATGAGAGATTGTGGAAAGAAGAGAATTTTAAATAGGATCTACGAAAAATCGGCCCAACGTTCTGATTTCTTAACTCCTTTCGAAATTTGTTTTATTTCTTTTTATTTTTGATCAATTAATAATGGAAATAGACAAAAGTAGATCTAGAAGTCGGACTTTGGTCGACGACTTATTCACTGCATCCCAAAAGATATCTACAGTTTCTAGGGATGGATTAGTAGGTCCCACTTTACCATCCAACGGTCGTTTCTCACTCTATGATCTCTCTCCAATTTTAGAAAAATGGGAACAAATTAGACCCCAAAAAATGGAAACAAAATGTCTTAAGATTTACAAATCTTGATTCTTGAGATGTATTAAAAGCTTATTTATTCGGATAGATTTGTTGTAAATACATAATCCGTTTATTGTCACAGATTTACTTTGATATCTAAATCTGAAATTTAAATTAAAAATAAAATTTTCACCAGCACCACATGAGATTTGTTGATTCTCTTACAAGAGTGGACTTTAACACATTAGACTAAAATAAGCTTCGCTATAATGACATCTTAATAATATAATAACAGCTTTTGAAAATATTGACGAAAAAAAATATTTTACATAACTATGCATAATTTGGGTCTGAAAGAGCACAATGGTCAATGGTTAGCCACTGACTGATGCCGTCGTGGATTTTAGTCTATATCTAGTATTTAACATGTCCTCTCTACGACACAGCGAAATACACAAATATGCATACATATATTGCATATATTAATCAGCACAATTATGGTTCATAATTTTGAGCATATCTCTTACTAATTTTGATCACAGTGGAGGTCTCTCCAACGAGACATACCCGAATTTGCCTTTGCGGAAATCCGTCAGTATTCTAAATGCAGCTTGATGACTATCTCCACCAAACAAGTTCAGACCAAGCGTCTTCACAAATCTGCAAAAGAGAGAGAGAGAGAGAGAGAGAGAGCAGAGATTCAATAAGAATACACGAACAATTATTTGCCAAAAGAAATGAGATCTTTGTGAAGAAGTTTCATTACTTTTTACCGCAGCCTCCTTCTAGCTGGATCTTGTATCGGTTATAAAGAGCCTTTGCGCCTTTTGTTATAAAGACGAAAAGAAAATAATAGAATCTTAAGTTTCATTTTTGGCCGAGGAAAATGAGAAAAAGAGTAAATCGCAAAAATGGTAATGTTCAGAAACTTACCTACTTCTGGAATCCGTGCTAACATCTGCACAAGGATTCCAGCAACATCAGTGAAGTCATAAGCTTTCTCTCCAATGTCATCGCAAATTGCAAGCTTTATAGCAGCTGCTTGATCGTCGATACGCATAGGAAGCATTCCAGGGGAATCTAACAGATCAAGATCTTTCCCAAGCTTGACCCATCTGTTTACAGTAAGATAAGAGTGATGACCAGTGACAGAGATTAAGTTTGGAAAACTGAGTTTAAAACAAGCTTTTAAAAGGTATTCTTACTTCATTTCTCTAGTTACACCTGGTCTTGGAGCTGCTGCGCAAATTTTGCGTTTCAATAGACGATTGATCAAAGATGATTTCCCAACATTAGGATATCCAATTATTCCAGCTCTTACCTGCATCATTTAAAATAACCTTAAAATTTAAATCATAAATGTTGCAACAGAGTATAATGGATCAAGATACACTTTACTTACTGATCTAGGGAGAAGTCCCTTTTCTCGCCGTTTCCCATTTACGTCACCTGCTAAACTTTTTGCTAAGCGACCTAGCTTCATAGCTCCCTGTAACCACCACTCAGAGATTAAGTCACCAGAGCATTGCCAAGAAAGAAAGAAAATCAATCTCAAAACAAAAAGATTAAACTTATAGAAACAATACCATCCCAAGTTTGCCATTAGTGAAAATGACCTTTATTCCTTGCTTTGCAAAGTATCTCGCCCAATCATTTCGATCATCGTTCGATATCATATCTTCTCTATTTAATACCAATATCCGTTTCCTATTCCCAAGCCACGCATCCATCTACAAAATACCACACGAAAGTAGGGACAAACATTATTGAACCACACAAAAGTTTTGTCATAGACTTAACTACTCCTACTGAACAAAGATTGGAGAGACTGAGTATACCCTCAAGCCAAAATAATATATATGTTCCAATGAAAACTTCTCTTGTACCGATAGACACAAAATTTTCTAATGTTCCCTCAAAAAACAACACTCAAATGTGCGTTTCTCCTCTAATGCAAAGCTAACCTAAACAATACTTACTCAAAAACCCATTTCAGTTAAATGTTCTAGCTTTCCCACCACAAGGAGTAATATAATTAGCATAGTCTAAAACCGGATCAAAGACGGTTGGATTGGATGCAAAACACTAACCTTTGGATGAGTCGTCGACAAAGGAATCCTAGCATCACGGACTTCAATCACAACATCCATTAGCTTAAGCTGTTCCCTAAGTTCCTTTTCAGTTTTCATTATGTGTCCTGGATACCACTGTTAAATCAAGAATCCCACACACACACAGTAAACAACAATCCAACAATTCATATTCAGAAAAAACAAAACTTTACAATATAATCTCGTAATTGATTAACCTGAACAGGACGTAATGCTCTAGTCCACAGACGGATATCAGATTCTAGATTCATCCAATCAATTTCATCTTCATTTGCCTCTAATTTGAACCCTATTGAATCATCCTTTCGTGTAACATCCAAATTCAAATCTTTTCCTCCAACAATCTGCAAAACACGATTGTTCTCAATTTCATTTCAGATAACAAAAGAAGACCACACCAAGTACAATTGGATGAAAAATGTTTGCCTGAATTGGTGGACGAGAGGAATTTGCAGTGGGAAGAGAAGCGGAGACGGCGTATGTACATTGACGGAAGGTGCGACGGTGAACGAAGTGGCTTAGGTTCGCCGGAGAAGGAGACGGCGATGGCGCTAACTGTGCAAACATCGCTGAAACAGAAATTAAAAAAAAAAGAAATTACAAAATAAAAAATCTAAAACCCCTTATCTCTATACGATGACATCTTATGGGCCTTTTCTTAAACTCGTAGGCCCATTTATATAAAATGGATTTCAAAATATACAAGTGTTTGAAGAGAGTACTAGGGTACTGATGCTCAGATCAAAGTTAAGCTATTGACAAAGGCAGATTTTCTTGGACCCCTAGGGCCTCATCGTCTTGACGATGAAGTTTATGTAAGAGTCGTTCACCTGAATTAGTTAATGTTCTAAAATACATTATATGTTAGACAAATGAGATAACCCATAGCCGTTTAGGCAGAAACTATACAAATAGATATATTTACATAAAAATTTGTCAAAATATGCTTCAGATAAGCTAGAGTCCCATAAGATTTCTAATCTTTTTTCTGAACTTTAGTATTAATTTTTAGTAGAGCAAAACTACATAGTTTGTTCTTTCTCAGTTTCAAAACATTGAACAAAACCAATTCTTTTTTTTGTTTTCGAGCCTTAAAAATTTCATTTATGCGGTATCTAGGTATATCATATATATAATTAAGTTACGCTAGCGTGGAAAGTGAAATTGAATTGGGACGTCTTCTCCGGTAATCGGAGATTTTTTATGCATGATGTACTCCTTTAGATGGACGAGTGCATGATGATCATGCAAATGCATGTCGGCGTAGATGTTAGAGTATGTGCAGTGGATAGAGATTCTCGAAGTTTCTCAAATATATTATTTTAATATATTTAATTCAATTTAATTGTTTATTTAAATTTTAGAAAAAGAAAAAAGATCAAATTTAATAAGATGTTGACATATGTGAAAGTAATATTTTTAGGGATTTTTAATGGTTTTCATTTGATAATCGATTCTCATTTCTCTATCCTACATTTATTTATATATATATATATATATATATTGTATATAACCCTTTTGATAACCTCCGACTGCACATGCTCTTAGATTCCGTTGTACTTTCACATTAAATGAGATTCATGTTTGACATATCTGCATTAAATGCGATTTGACGGAATGTTCGAATCCGTTAATTTTACGTGTGCTCAAGTCAAACGATCAAACCGTTATCAGAGATTCAGAATTCTCTTCTCCTTAAAAATGTTTCGCAATCGATCTACCGCGTATCATTCAGTAATTTGTCGTTTTCATAAACTGTATTATTTCACTTTTTTACAATTTTCAAATATATTTCAGAATAAAATTATACATAAATGATACTCTCTCTATTTCTAAATAATAAATTTTTATAATTTTTATACATATTAAGAAAACACATAAATAGTTGATTATAAATGTATTTTTTTTTGTGATTTACAATTTTCTATATATAATTCTAAAGCAATAGTATTCAATTATTTTTCTTGAAGTTTACAATTCATCAATAATAACTAATAAATATTGCATATAAAACTTTAAAATTCTATATTTGTGAAACAAATTTCTTTTATAGAAAATAGTACATTATTTAGAAACAGAGGGTGATCTTTTTTTTGGTAAGAAGATACAGAGGGTGATCACGTATATATATGTTGACATATTGTTAACAAAAATCAGTAAATATATGATTTCGTCCTCTAATTTAATTTAATTTTGTTTATACATTTAATGAATAGTAAGTAAGACTGCTGTATTTATTTTTATAGCTATTCTCACATTTAATGAAAAGTAACGGAAATTAGCATATGTACAAAATGAAAATTTTACGTGTCACGTAACAAAAAAAAACGACTAAACCCTCTATTAGTCTATTTGACTGATTGTAATTCAAATTTCAAATAGTGGAAAATACAATAAAAGACCTACACGTGTAGTTTCGTATATCTCTTATTATTTAAACTTTATCACCTTCTTAATATTTTTTTAAGTATGAAATCCATGAAAAAATGCAAAAAGATAGAGAGAAACTAGAATCTTAAGATAATACTAAGATGTAAGTAAAAGGAAGAAATTGTGAAATTATACTTGAACTTGACAAAATAGGAATTGCCAACAGATTG